GTCTCCAGACCAGGAGATAGGCTGAATGGTTTCGAAAAAGTTAAAACTAAAGCTGCTGCGACTTATAAAATGAGCCTTATTCCAAAAAAAAGTGTAGCGTTCCTTTAAAAAGCTTCTTTGGAAAATGCACACACTGCAAAACCCAAAAAGTTTAGGTAACTCAAACCATTTGAAAAAAACGATTGCAACAAAGCATTTAAGTTTAAAAAACGAATCCTAATGAGTACTGCGAACTTAATCCATTTGAGAAAATGAAGCAATTTGAGCACAGTCAAGCCAAATAAATAAAGAGAACTCAAACAGAGTTCTGTAAAACATAACAAGTTGAGGCAACTTAAACTGTTCAAGGAAATCGATTGCTACACCCATTTGAGTTAAACAACTAATATATATGAGTACTGTGAATTACTCCATTTGAGTGGACGTAATGAGGTATTTAACTCATTACCTTCAACACAGAGTTCAAAAATTTTCAAATTAGTAGAATTAATTTTCGCTAAATTTCACCGTTGGCTTTTACAGTGCATATACATTACATCATTGCTAAATCATTTATTAGTTGTATTTTTTTTTATCCTTGGTACTGCAATTTTCTAGGTGACTGGATAAACTAGCACAGCACTGTAAAAAAATGCAAGAATGCACAAAATTCTGTCATGTTGTCCTAACACAAGTTTATCTAAATGTTTTTACAAATTTAAGTTTGTTGAGCATAAAACAATCAAGTTGTCCCAAAAAACCCTCAAGAATTGTGTTGTTTCAGCTCAATAAGTAGTTTGATTAAATACCAAATGTATTTTTTTCCTGTGAAGAACACTGCAAGAAAAGCTGAGAGGGATTACAGAAAGATGACTTTCACATACTTAAAACAGTTTATTAAAAACAATGCAAGAAATGTTCAAGTCTTTATTTATTTAAGTTTTATAACTTGCAAGTTTTGTCAACATTCCTAGTGTTTTTTTAAGAAAGCAAATTACAATGCATCTCATCTCTGAGAATAACAAAAAAAAAAAAAAGAGAGAGAGAAACAAGTTGTTTTCAACATTTCACTCACGCATGCTGAGTAGAATCCATTTTTATATGGCAACTGAGAGGACAAAATCAATGTGTCTGCCTCTCTTCCATTCATAAGTTTAAGCTTCAGGTGAGCTATTACAATATTTACACACAGTCTTACACCCCGGAAGACGTTTCTCCAGGAATACTTGTTTTTTTTTTGTATGGCAGTTGTTATTATACACAAATATACAATAAAACATTGCTACTCTTGAAGTTTTATAACTACATATTACACAGTAGATACTCGTATTTGTGAAATTTGACAAATCATGACAAAAATTGTGTCTAGTACATTTTGTTTTGTGTTTTGTGCGTGTGTGTGTGTTACAAATACATTTAGACCTTTGCATACAGACAATAATAATATACCTAAAAAGAAACATTGTTCTGGTCTGTTGTTGTTGTCGCTGATACATTCTGAGAAAGTCTCCCCCATAATATTAGTGACAGAAACTTTTTTTTTAAAAAACAAGCTTTGATTTGCTGGCAGCCTGTTCATTGTAATACAACAAATAATCAAGCAAGTCATGGAAAGAAGAGAATTGCAATTTTTTTTTTTAATCTAGGTTTTTTTAATTTAATTTGTTTTTTTTTTGCCTCTTACACAGTGCTAACTGATTTAAATGTTCATAACAAACTGCCGTTGCATCATAGAGGAAAGTTCTTATTTGCCGTGAGCTTTAGCTGAACCTGAAATCACTCTCACTGAGATGTAATTTTTATCTAATAATCAAATAGTTTGAAAACCATTACAAAGTACAATATTTCCACAATAACTCTTTAGACATAGAAATCTATAGATTCAAATTCACACCAAAACTGCTAAAACACTGAAACTCAGTGAATGAAATACACAGTGATTTGAATGAAATGTTGGAATGTGACTGAAGGCAATATATTTCAAATACATTATCAGCTACTAGATTGTCTTTAATTCCTCTCAGCAACTATCAAGTTCATGGTTTATCAACTGAGGTTCAAAAACATGCAACTCAAGCTATCAGTTGCCTGAAAACACGGCTCAAAGTATTATTATTTGTATAGTACTAGAACAGGTTCCAGACGTGTTTCACACAAAAATAAATAGAAAACAAAAAGAATTTGTGTCTTTCTTTGGAAACTCATCTGCTTTGTATTTGGTGTAGATGTGTGATTGTGTTTTTAAAGGATATATTTACATATCAGACAATAGGTGGTCAGAAATCAAAATTTTACATCATTTATGTAAATAAATACATTTAAATATGGACCAAAGTCTCATGTGTTCCATTATGTGCACGTTTGATAACATTTAATGAGCATGCCTACCATTAAAGAAACATTTGAAACAGGCTTACCATTGGTGAATGTATCTTTGCTGAAGGCACACGAAAATTTGAGAAAACTACAAATATTGCTAAATAACTGTTACTTGTTTCTGCTCAAAAAAATAGGTTGCAGGGATACTTTAGTTATTTAACGATGACACAATAATTTCAAACATGTTGACAAGTGTACAGTATGAAAAAAGCACACACATTTCTGCCAATAATTTATAGACACTTCAAAACATTTTCTCTGTTAAAATCGAAGTATCCACTGTGTACTAACTCTTTTCATTTCAGTAACTGGCTCATTCCTTTATTACAGTACTTTTGTTCGTTTTTGAAGGTAAAAAAGAAAATTCTTAAGGAAGCAATTGTATAAAAAGGTGTATTCTGGAAATATTCTGCAGCCAGTCTCAGTCTCTTAAACATTATTCAGTATAGCTTCATTATTTACACCAAAACGGGTCACCATCATAACTTACAGATTGGACATGACAACCCAGGCTCCGTCTGAAAATGTACACCTATATACATTTCTGGAAAATGCCGAATACATCCCAGGAGGTATGTTTTTTTTTTTTTGCAGTTTTTTTTTTTTTTTTTTTTTTTTTGCAGTTTTTGTTTTCACGAATCCAACAGAGGCTGCGGTGTACACTTTTTGAGATCTCAAATTTCTCTCCATTCACGACTGCTGTTCTCACATAAATTTACCAGAGGCCGCTGTCAACTGACTAACTGATTGACTGACCAATCGACAGACCGATTCCCCATCCACCCACTTTCCTAACCCAAACGACACTGTTTTGAAAAGCAATCAAGAAGAAGAAAAGCCCCCTAATTTTTACTATGTTTTCAGATTTTACCACATTCTCACCCTGTTATTTATTTCTTTATTTAATGTTTTGGCTTCTGTTTTTGTCTTACCTGCTTTCTGGAACCGTTCTTCGCCAGACTTAAACCCCATCATCATGGTCAACTCCTCTCTGCATCTCAAGTCTGCTGACACATGATGCGAGCCACTGAACAAACTGGTAACAGCAGGAAAAGCCGTTCCATACAGAAGTTAGCTTTCTGGAACTGCATTCATTTTTTAGACGGAATGCAGCCATACGTACTCCTGGCTACATAATTCGTGATCTCCAGAAATGTATAAGGGGATACTTTTTCACAATGAGCCTGTGTTTACATAAGAGCTATAGTTAGCAGGTGTATGTATGTAATTTTGAGTGTGTAATAATGTTGATTTGTTTTATTATAGTACATATTTCTAGGGATAGTTTTTCAAAAATGTAAATTCATCTGGGGGCTTTAAATAGAGCAGAAATAATTTATTTGCGATTAATATAATTTATATAAAGTGTTTGTAACATATCTGAAACAAACGGAAATTTGACAGGTCTGTACCACAGCTTTGCCCTTCAGGTCTCTGCTCTGGTCACATCACTCAAAGCTATGAATACTAAGTAGATACGATTGTTATAACAAAAATGACTAGAAAAGCTGTTTATCTGCATGGTTTAACTGTATTTCAGTGCCAGCTGTATTAACCCTTGACCCTAAAAAAGTACTTTTGTGCTTAAATCTGACTATGTTAGTAATTTTTACAGTCAAAGGGCAATATAGTGCTGTCATATACATTATATACATATCTTTAATTCAGTGCATTCAAACAGTGTCCCACATATTCATATATACATATACATTTGAAGTCAAAATTATTACCCAATACCCTCTAAATATTTTTCCCCAATGTCTGTTTAACGAAAGAAAAAAATTTCAACACATTTATAAACATAATAGTTTTAATAACTCATTTCTAATAACTGATTTGTTTTATCTTGGCCATGATGACAGTACATAATATTTTACTAGATATTTTTTAAAATACTAGTATTTAGTTTAAAGTGCAGTTTAAAGGCGCTACCAGGTCAATTAGGCAGGTTAGGGTATGTAGGCAAATCATTGTATAACAGTGGTTTGTTGTGTCGACAATTGAGAGAAAAAAGGGGGCTAATAATATTGACCTTAAAAACGACTTTGAAAAATTAAACACTGTTTTTATTCTAGCTAAAATAAAACAAGTAAGACTTTCTACAAAAGTAAAAATATTATAGGAAATACTGTGAAAAATTCCTTACTAAACATAATTTGACAAATATTTATAAAAGAAAAAAAAATCACATGAGGGCTAATCATTTTGACTTCAACAGTATATATTACCACAATGACCTTGCCATTCCTCAGATATGTGCTGATGAAAACTATAACTACATTGAACACAAGCAATGCCTTATTTTTTATCAGGTAAAAGTACATTCATATGGTTATGCATGTTTTTATGCACTATTATGGATAATCATAAAAGCAGCATGATTATAGATATTAGACGTATGAGATGTATTAGAAGTATGAGGGTAAACATGGAATGCTAACAGACTTTCCATTCTAAGAGAGTACATTGTTTTTGGATTCCCAATGGGACTTCCATAAATATTCAGAGATGAATTTCCTATTGGGGAATCTTTAGGGAAGATCTCTATGGAAAATATGGATACTTGAAAATGATAGCATTTTAGCATTTAAAATGTTTAAAAGGATTATGCATAGTAATCTTGATGTCTGCATTGAATGTGGTAACCTTTTTACAACTGGATTTATTCTTGATTTATTTACCTGACATGATGCATCTTGACACCCAAGTTGTAATATAACACAGCCCGGATCTTTATGGTGTTTTTGGTCCATTTTTGGGAAATCAACAATAAGAACTGTCCACACAACACCTTTTTGTTCCGTCAATGACAACAAAACGACATGCGTAAATGATGACTCCATTTTCTGTGCTTGGTTTAAAGGGCAAAACCAATTATTAAAAAGTAACATCATTGAAATCAGTTAAAGAATGTTACCATGGGATGTATTGAAGTGTTTCTAGGCAACAGGTGACAGGCAGTAACAGGAAGTGGAAAGACAGGAGAGAGTGACACTGGAGTTTGGTGAGAGAGTGGAAGACATCTGGAGTTTCTTCTGTTTCCCTCAAAGTTTAAAGAACACAGTGCAGATGCACAGAAGAGCAGATGGCATGCTTTATCCCCCTCCAGATCTGAGGAGAGAAAAAGAAAAGAAGGAAATAGAAGAAACAATTTGTCAAATGATACAATTAGATGGGCGTTGCAGGTTAGACTGTTTATTTGACTCCAATGAAGCAACCATTGAAGCAATTCTATTTGCTTCTATTGATGCAATATTATTTAAAAGGCAAAGGTCCCTAATTATGCTTTTATGAAAGTAATTCTAGAAAACCAACACCTAAAGGTAGCACACTGAAGAAATGAGAATTTGCATACAATCAAATTTTTAAGCATCCATATCAAAACACTGACATAGCAGCATTACATTAATTTTATAACACACAGTGGTATAATATAATATAATATAATATAATATAATATAATATAATATAATATAATATAATATAATATAATATAATATAATATAATATAATATAATATAATATAATAAAAATTGCTGCATAAGAGTAATGCCATAGCAAATGAGTTGTGTTTGCGTATTTGTTTATTCAGCATGAATGCAAATGCCTCAGTTATTAGCTAACATTATGCAAGCACTTGGCAAAATTAAATGTCTAGCAAGCAAAAGAAAAACACTGAGAGCTAGTTATAAACAAACAATAAAAAAAAAGGATTGACAAAAAATAAATCTGTTTTTTTTTTTTTTTTGCATTTGTTGCATATCTAAGTTACCACAGATGGAGGCAGTGAGAGAGATTGTTCCTGGCTTTTCCAATTATTTCAGTATGTGTAGATGAGTCTCAGGAATAAGCAAAAAAGTAAAATATAACATATACAGTTAGATCAAGAAATGTTTGGACATTGACAACATTTTGGGCTCTAAACACCAACAATAGATTTGAAATGAAATGAGCAAGATGTGCTTTTGCAGACTGTCAGCTTTAATTTGAGGATATTCACATCCAAATCAGGTGAACGCTGTAGGAATTAAAACAATTTGCAAATGTGCTTCCCACTTGTTAAGGTTCCAAAAGTACACAACTGGCAACTGGCTTCTAAGGTGTTCCATGGCCAGGGGTTGTTATTGCATAATTATCCCAACTACAATAAGCAGATAAAAGGTCTAGAGTTTATTTCAAGTGTGCTATTGGCATTTGGAATCTGTTACTATCAACTCTCAAGATGAGATCCAAAGACCCATCAGAGAGATATCAAAAACATTAGGCATGGCCAAAAAAACTGTTCGGAACATTCTTAAAAAGAAAGAATGCACTACTGAGCTCACTAACACCAAAATGACCCAGAAGACCATGAAAAACAACTGTGGTGGATGACCAAAGAATTCTTTCCCTGGTGAAGAAAACACCCTTCACAACAGTTTGCCAGATCAAGAACACTCTGCAGGAGGTAGGTTTATGTGTGTTACATAACTTGTACTAGAGTGATGGGAAGAGAAGAGTATGGAGAGGGAAAGGAACTGCTCATAATCCTATGCAGTGAAGCATAGTGGAAGTAGTGACATGGCCTGGGCATTTATGGTTGTCAATGGAACTGGTTCTCTTGTATTTATTGATGATGTGACTGCTGACAAAAGCAGCAGGATGAATTCTAAAGTGTTTCAGGCAATATGTTCTGCTCATACTTTCTGCTCATATGGCGCTTCACAGTGCAGATGGAGAATGACCTAAAGCATATAGCAAAAGCAACCAAAGAGTTTTTCAAGGGAAAGAAGTGGAAAGCTATATGATGGCCAAGTCAATCACCTGAACTAAATCCGACTGAGCATGCATTTAACTTGCTGAAGACAAAACTGAAGGAAAATGCCCAAAGAACAAGCGGGAACTGAACACAGTTGCTGTAGAGGAATGGCAGAGCACTACCAGGCATGTAACCCAGCATCTGGTGTTGTCTATGCATTTCAGACTTTAAAAAGTGAACGTTTGATTTATGATTAATATTCTGTCCAACTACTTATGGTCCCTTAACTAGTGGGAGGCCAATATACAAACTGTTGTATTTACTACAATGTTCACCTGATTTGGATGCAAATACTGTCAAATTAAAGCTGACAGTCTGCAGTTAAAGCACAACTTGTTCATTTCATTTCAAATTGATTGTGTTATTGTATAGAGTCAAAATGTTAGAATTGAATCAATGTCCAAATATTTATGGACCTAACTCTAACAATAAATACACTCTAAACTTCTATTTTTATACAAAAAGAAACACAATATAACATCAGTAACATTATAACGCACATCAAGTATGAAATTTAAAGTGATTTGTATTGATGAATGTACTAAAATTATAATAAATGTATTGCAAACCTTTTTAAATAAAACAAAACAGAAACTAACTGGCAAACAAAGACACAGAAAATGGTGTAATATGTGGAAGATGAATATGGTTTATGCCATCACATCATGTCTTGTTGGGCAGAGTCATACCTTCCTCTTCTGATATTTCTGTATTCAATAAACAAAACAGACAGAGAATAAGACTTCGTTAGTTAAGATGCAAAAGACACTATCACATTAAATACCGCAATGAAACATTATAATATCACCTTTCTTTTGTAAAGACAAATCCTAATAAACACTGAAGTTTAAACATTTGTGAATATCGCAGTAGATCAGCAGTTTCTAAAATATTTAGGTCAGCCCGTCTGGCACCAACAACCATGCCACATTCCACATGCTCCATATTCAAAGTCACTTAAATCACCTTTCCGATGCTCGATTTGCAGCAGATCGTTTTGACCATGTCTACATGCCTAAATGCACTGAGTTGCTGCCATGTGATTGGCTGATTAGAAATTTGCATTAACAAGCAGTTGGAGCTAATAAAGTGGCCGGTGAGTGTACATGCAGCTTGATATGCACTTAATAAGAATGATCAGCATCTGCAGTATCATCAGTACATGTTGCAATGAACACAGTTTAATGTGTAGGAGTACTGTAGAGTTCTTAAAACTTCAAACAAAATGTGGCACTATCTGGGGCCTGCACCATGAATACGCTTATTTCACACAGCCGCCATTTTAAAGTATAGGATCAGCACTGTAAACATTGCAGTAAAATGCTGTGGACTACAAACCTCCAACTGTTGCCAAGATTTCAAAATGCAGAAATGATATAAACATTAATTTAATTATAAACAATTAAAAGCAATTTAACATCAAACAACATCACAATCTCTTTAAGAGTAATATGCTCAAGTGTCCTCCTAGGCTTTAGTTCATGGCACTAATTAAACACCGTGGGGAAGCTTTACTGCTTAAGAATATGTAACCCGGTGAGCAATAAAACACTGCAGACCTCTGCAGCACACCCTTATGTTGAACACTACAGAGCGACATGACAACACTATTACACTGAGCACGTTTATAAACAGCATTGATTTACTATAGTGTTCACCAGTGCTCAACAGTTTACCGATCTTGACCCAGTGCAAACACAGATACGCAAACACTGAAGCGCGAAGCAGCCGTGAAAATCAGTCGAGTCATCAAGCAGATCGCTCGTCTGTGTTTGTACTTGGTTAACAGCGGAGCGTAAACTGATGACTTTCACGGCCAATCACAATCATTTCTGTTAAGCATGTGAACACAATGGCAAATCAGCGCTGTTTTAAGAAAGCAATCAACAGTGCCTTAAATGTTGGCGTGAAATTGACAGATTTTCTTTAAATTCACTATTGAGACAAGTATAATATAATGAAAAATCAGTTCATTAACTTAAGTTAGATAAATAGCATCTAAAACTTGTGTTTGGGAAAGAATACGGTAGCTAACCAGTCACATTTCCCTTAACTTAGCTGAAAATGAGCTCTGATATCCCTTTTTATTTTCACCATTCAATCAGAATGGACCTTCGGGTAAATTTGTGTCACTTTCTCTTTGCTGATAAGATATACAGCCAGGTACACAACGTTCCTATGCAACTCCCAATGATAACTCTGGGTTTCTTCCCACCACAGCATTGATTTTGCTTTTAAAAATGGCGGCCGCATGCAATGAGTCCATTAGGTTTAGCTGGCTAGCCAGTAAAGTTTCAGTTTAGTTTGAACCAACCTTGGGTTTTAGGAAACATGAATGTAGCTCAACTTTAACTACTTTTTGTTGTAATGGTTTTATGGAGCAGCTAAGATGAGTTGAGCAACATTCATGGTACCTAAACCCCAGAATTGGTTTGAACTAAACTGAAATTTAACTGGCAAGACAGCTAATCTGGCTTCATGGTACAGCCCTCTGGTCTTGTCTGTTTTGTTTGCTTCTTAAGAATTTCAAGATATATTCATGAAAATGTTTTTTTTTTTTTTTTTTTTTTTAGAAACATCCTATAAAAAACAAACAAACAAACAAACAAAAAAAGAAACAAAATATACTTTCACCACCAAGGCTGCTTTGTCTTTTCACTAATAATTTATCAAGAGAAATATATTAAAGCTACTTAAATGGCTTTAAAGTGTTTAAATCGATTTTACGTCTTACTTGAAGCCCCAGCCTGTTCCTCCAAGTACTATAGCTGCCAATAGTATCGCTCCTGCTATAGAGCCAATGATGATGTTTGTACCACTTGGACCTGTTGACAGACAGAGAACAAGAATTATGCTTTCGGGAGTAAGAGGCGGTGGTATCTTGTGATAACATTTGCTTTTTCATTGACCTCTAATAAAGAACCTGATACCTAAAAGACATCTGATTAATTTACAGCCCCTAAATATCTGTATTCTTTTGTGGAACTAAATTTCATTGAAGTCTGTCAAATTTTCTGTGACTGTTTATTTTGAAAATAATTATTTATTTTTTTATGACAATGGTTCAAAAACCAAATAACCCAATTAGAGTTATTTATATATCAGTTATGAACCCAGTCATTTCTTCAATCTCTTTATCAAGTGCTTGACCTATTTGAATGTCCAAGGCGATGTTGAGAATCCCACCTGGGAGTCAGGTAAAAGTTGCAGAATGCTCACTGCTTACATCAGTTATCATCAGCTCTGACTAGAGCTCCAAATCTGAAGTGCTAGCTCATTCAGACAATCTGACTTGGCTGGGCGAATAAGTTTATCTGGTGTCTTACACTTTCAATTAAATTCTTTTTACTTAAATGATTATTCCAGAAAAAAAAAAATACATTTCAGTTCTTAACTATTCACCATCATGTCATTCCAAATCCCTGAGACCTTTGTTCATCTTAACATATTAGTTGTTTTTTTTCTTAAACCTGAAAGATCCCTCGTCCTAAATATAAAGCAATAATCACACGACAAGCAGGAACAAAAACATTGTTAAAACATTCCATGGGATTTTGGGGGTTAAACCAAAAAAATAGGAAATACCACTTTTATGTTATATCTTCTCTTCCACTTTTTTTCTATCACTGCAGCACGCAATGGGCATATTGCTCATAGTAAACACACACCACTTTGTGTGATTTATACAATTGATCCACTTAAGTTACTTTGAATATTTTTACAAGGTTTTTGTTTCTTTTTCTAAACTTTGAATGTCTAGGGATCAGATCATTGCTGTATAGGGAGGATGAGACAGCTCTCTGGCTTTATCTAAAATATCTTAATTTGTGTTTCGATGATGAAAGCAGGTCTCAGGGGAATATACAGAGAAAAAGTGATGCTGTGCAAACTACTCTGATATGTGTTATTATGGGTACTGTTTTTTATACTTCTTTAAAGGATGTGTTTGGATTTGAATTGGATTTATGTATTTTATAATAGTTTTTTGAATTTATGAATTCATGAATTCATGGATTTGGGTATTTTTGAATCATGTTTTAAACTTAAAAATATGATTTACATATTTTTGAATTGTTTTTTGAATTCACAAATTAGATTTGGGTATATCTGAACTGTTTTTTAAATTTATGAATTATGAATATTTTTGAATTTTTAGACTAATCTATTTCTATATGTGTTCAGAAAATCCATGGTCAAATGATTAAATTATGCAGCTTTCTGAGAAGTCCATTCTAAAACACGATTTAGTAGTTGGCAACTTCTATATATTTATGAGCCAAGCTGCTTCACATTGCAAGAAAGTCCTAGATTTGGCCTTGGAGTTTGCATGTTCTCCAATATTGGAATATTTTGCCGAAATTACAATTTATTTAAGATTTTAACTGTGAACTTTACCAACCCTTTTATTAAAGAAATATCTCAAATTTACATACAATGTTGAAATATTCAAGACTTTTTACACCTGTACTCTATGTATTTCACATACATCCATATGTAATAATATTGTTGTTTATTATTGTGTGTGTGTTTGTGTGTATACACAAGACATCCCACATCTTCAAGATGCTCCAGGAGACTCCCAAATATCCACAGTAGCTGCATGGTGTGATATTATCTTGGAAATTATGGATGCAAGACAGAAAACACTCAGGAGCAAACTAGATCAGGAGAGTATATCAGATGTGGTGATATACCTTTAAAGCCTTAAATTACACACATAGCACAGTAAAGTACCTCTACTAGAGTACTAAAGTACCTTTATCACTGCTGTAATTGGAGCTGCCAATTTTGCAGGCTACGACCACATATCTGATCGCTTGTCAAGAACATGTACTCACTCCCTGAAATGAGTTTTTGCAGGGTGGGATGTCTGATGTATGCTCTAAATACATACACAAGGTTGTTACAGCTTGTAAGTTAGTTAAATTAGCAAGTAGTAACACTGCTGAACATATTAGTATTTCATTCCAAACATAAACAAAGAAAGAAAAAGTACAACTAAGGAGTGACTAAATGTGTTATCAACCTTTGTACTTCTCAGGACCATCTGGAGGCTGGGGGTCTGGAATGGGGTCATATACACTGCAATCCTTCCCGGTGTAGTCTGAGTCACAGATACACTTTACTTCATTACTGCAAGTCTAAAAAAGAGACAGAAAGGGAATGTCTACATAAGTGGGAAAAAAAGAAAAAACATTTTCTTACATTACTACAGTAAATTATCTGCACTAACCGTCAATGAGGTAAAGAGGAATGACAATTTTATGACCACATTTTTTAGAATATAAGCTTTTTTAATTATCAGAAAATCTGAACTGGTGTCAAATAAGAGAGGCATATGAGTGTGTTCTGCATACTGTTAAATCTAAAATATTTGTTATGATGTGTATTTAATATTAAATATAAAGTGGTGTAAAAAAGTGTTTGCCACCTTACTGATTTCTTTTTTTTTTCATGTTTGTCACACATTAATGTTTCGGATCACCTAACTAATTTAAATATTAGTCATAGAAATAACACAAGTTAACGTCATAAAGTTTTGAAATAAAAGGTTTTTATTATTAAGGGAAAACAAAATACAAAATTACATAGATACATGTTAAAAAGTGTTTGCCCCTAAATCTAATAACTGGTTGGGCCACTCTTATCAACTGAAATCAAACATTTTCAATAACTTACAATGAGTCTGTTACAGCACTGTGGAGGAATTTTGATCCACTCATCTTTGCAGAATTGTTGTAATTCAGCCACATTAGAGTTTTTTTTTTTTAGCATGAACACAGCATGCCACAGCATCTTATTCGAATTAAAGTCAGGACTTTGACTAGGCCGGACCCTTTTTTAAATGTAAGCCTGACTACCACCAACACATTTTACTGTTGGTGTAAAAACACACCTTACAAAAATTCCAGTATTTTTCCCAAAAAGTATTTTGGGGTATAAGAGTATTTTCCCAAAAGTCTTGAGGATCATCAAGATGTTTTCTGGCAAAACTAAGACAAGCCATTATGTTTTGTTTTGTTTTTGTCTTGAAAGTCTGCAATGCAAACCATTTTTTCCCCAGTCTTTTTCTTAACGTGAAGTCATAAACACTCATCTTAACTGAGGCAAGTGAGGGTCTTTTGTGACTTATTGGGTTAGTTGTCACTGTCTTGGGGTAATTTTGGTCAGCCGGCCAATCCTGGAAAGGTTCTCCAATGTTCTATCAACTTGCGATTTGTAAATAATGTCTTTAATTCCTTTAAGGATGAACAACAATCTAATGTGTAGACCTCAAAACAGTGACATCAAAACAGGCAGTAAATTAAGTGAGTGTGATGTTAGATGAGCAGCCTACCCCATGATCTGAGCACACAAGAGAGAAGGATGACCCGGGACAGGATGACAGGTTGAAGGTGGTGACCGGCAAACAGCGATGGTCTAGGCACATCATATTAGGACCACAAGGTGTGCCATCCTCCACATACCCAAGATCAGTGCCATCCTCTAACACTGCATGACCACCACTGAAGACACAAATAACAGCTCGGTGACATCTTAATGCAAACAACCTCTAGATCAGGATGCCCATTGCTATTCCTGAAGACCTGTCTACTTACAACTAGGCAAGTTTAGGTAATTGAGCAAGTTATTATTATTTTAAAAATAAAAAACTGTTTTTATTCTAGCCGAAATAAAACAAATGAAAAAAGAAATGAAAAAAGAAAAAACTAATAATTCTAATAATTCTGACTTCAAATATATATATATCTGACTTCAAATATATATATATTCAACCCTGAATCGAAAAAAAATTGGAAAGTATGGAATATGGAAAACACAAATGAAAAAAGGTATCGGTTTTCTAATTTAATAATAGTTAAATTTGTTGCAGAGAATATAAACACTAAATATTACATTTTACGTCTGGTCAACTTATTTACATTTGTAAATATACATCCTTTTCTGTCATTCAGACCTGTAACACATTCCAAAAATGCTGGGACAGGAGCAATTTAAGGCTAGTAATCAGGTAAACTGGTTAAATAATGATTTGATTTGAAACAGGTGGTTTTAACAGGTGATTGCAATTATGATTTGTTACAAAAGCAGCATTCAAGAAAGGTCGAGTCCCTTAGGAGCAAAGATGGGCAGAGGATCACCAGTTTGCCAACAAATATGTAAGAAAATTTTTGGAAACGTTTTACAACAATGTTCCTCAAGGAAGATAGGAAGACATTTGGATATTTTACCTTCAATAGTGCATAACATAATTAAATAATTCAAGGAATCTAGAGGAATTTCAGTGCGTAAAGGACCAGCTAAACAACCATCATCTTAGGTCCCTGTGGCACTGCGTCAAGAATCTTCATTCATCCATAAGCGATATCACCACATGGGCTCAGGACAACTTTGGCAAACCTTTGTCAATAATCACTATATTTGGTTACATCCACAAATGCTGGTGAAAACTGTACTGTGCCAAAAGGAATCCTATGTTAACAGTGTCCAGAAGTGGTGTCAACTTCTCTGAGCTAGGAGGCATCTGGGATGGACCATCACACAGTGGAAAAGTGTACTGTGGTCAGATGAATCAATGTTTCAGGCATTTGTTTTGGGAGAAATGGACGAAAGAAAAAAAGGATCATCCAGACTGTTACCAGCAACAATTCAGCTTTTGTTTAGGGATAGACTACAACATGTAATAATGCTGTATACTGTATAAAACATTTTATGTTGCCTCTGGGCCAGATTGTCATTGTAAATGAGAACTGGTTCTCAATTGACTTACCTGGTTAAATAAAAGTTATTATTATTAATAATATCTGAACAATGTCTTACAGTGTGTTAACGAAGGTATTTAACAGAATAATTGATAATTGCATTGTTTTTCAATAATTTTAATCACCTTTTGTCAACTATTCCTACCTCAGTACCACCCCAAAACCAAATTGATTCATTTACCGACAATCCAGGTACTTGTTCTGATGGTAGATGGTGAGACTTGTGCTTTCTCCATGCAAGTCTCCATACCGCGGCTTCACTGTGATATTAGTGCACAATAAAAAACCACACAGTACATCCCTGTAAATAAACACAGACAGAAATAACAGTGTTATACAGACGAGGAGGAAAAATAATGAATATTCCACACTGTAAAAGCTCTTACTGCCTCAACTTACGCTAATCAAATTGACTAAAAATATTAGGTTAAACCTAATAAAACTAAAACAATTTTGTTGAGATCAGAGTAATTTATTAAAATAAGTTAAAGTAACATAAATAACATCATTGTGACAATCATATCATTTTTTTGAAGTGCATGAAAGAGACAAAGAATACCACTGAACGGGTTATGAAAGGTTATTTTCTCACTCACTGTTTATTGCACTGAATCCAGTTGTGTGAGCTGCTGTCCTGACCACAGTTGCCACGCTCTGTGCCCTCAATGTTCAGCTTTTCATAACACATACGATCTGCTGCATCTAACAGTGCATAGGCAATACACTGAGCATTGTGCATATTCAGTATTAGAATTTAACAAGAGATATGTGTTATTATGACAAAACTTTATGAATTCACTTAACTGCACTGCACTTTATTGAAATGGACTACAAAACTAATCTAACGTTGCACTTGTATGTTTGCAGGAATACCCAAAAATACATTGTACGTTTCTTAAACATGCGATGCTAATTCAATTAGTCAATTTTCTACAGTAAATATATTTAAAAAACTGATTAGTAATATTCATTGCTAAACTTTATTTAAACAAAATTAAAGGTGATTTTCTTAATATATAGTTTTTTTTAACCCCCAGATTTCAGATTTTCAAACAGTTCTATCTTTAGCAAACCTTGTCCTATGCTAAAATATCAATATCAAAGGAAGCTTTTATTCAAATCTCTTTTGAATTTTTTTTTTCTTAATTCTAGTTTGGATTAAGTAATTGTTTTCTACAATTTTACCAATTTGTTAAACCTTATTATACAGTGCAAAAAAAATATATATATATTTTTTTGTAAAATGTACTGATGATCATCATAAAATTAAAGAAAGATACATAATTAATAAAAGCTCATTTTAAGTAGCCTGTCTATAAAATATGTGCAATGCTAAAAGATGCTCCCCAATACATAAGCAAATAGGACTCTAAAAAAATTAATAAACATGAATTATTGAAACTGTAGCATATAAAGTGGTTATGTTTTATATTACTTTTAAGTGGTTAGAATATTAGTAGACAGGTGGTTAGTATCTACAGTAAATTAACTTTACTGATCTTAAGCAACTTTACAATGAGATAACTATCTCTACTACCTGTCTACAAATACTCTATTAATTACAGTTAATGAAATGTAACAATGTAAATAACTATTTAAAAAAATATATAATTATTAGAATGAATTGTACATTTTGCTAAAAAAAAAAAAAATATTTGGCAACAAATTACTTGAATGGGGTAAGGCTGTCATAAAAAAATTCATAATCAATGCAAAATGCAAAGATGACATTGTTTGAGATGTCTTTGTTACAACATCATGACATAAACAAATCCATCATAACCTGTCTTTGTCATGACAACTTGACATTGTCATAACAACATAACTTGTCATAAAATTTGTCATAAACAAGACTATCATCAGGCAATTATAACGGTGTCATGAATTTTATAACAGCTTCATTTATCAACTGTAGTACAATTTGTACAAATTGAATTAAAATGTTAATTAATGTTTAATATTAACATTAATATTATTGACACTGTTATAAAATTATATGACAGAGTACTGGCACTTTTAATGAGAAATTGTAATGACAATTTCAGTTTGTTCCACTGACAAAATATCTTTAAAAAAGTACACTATATAACTACAGTAACAGTCTTCAATAAAATAAATGGATAATTAAATAAATAAAATAAAAATCATAAATACTGTGGTAGTCCCGTTTTACATTTTTTACTGTTTTTGCATCTGCACAAACCTTGCCAGTGCCCTTAAGTGTAATTGTGTTTCCAAATTTTTATTTTTACTTATATTTTTAGATAATATTATATGTGTAATAGTATTAATTTCAATTTCTTTTTCTCACTTTACTTTTCTTATTACTATTATATCTTAGGCACATAGGGTCTGTGAATAACACAATTTCGATTCTCTGTTTGTCCTGTACATGAGGCTGAATTGAGAAAGCTGACTTGGACTTGACTTTGATGCATAAGTTGATGAAACACTTTTGGCATTTATACATGATACATCAAAAACAATCATTTAATTGGCAAAACTGTTCTATTGGTATTCAAATGAAATCTTTAGTAGTAAATGTTACATGCATCAAAAGTTAAAGCATAGACTTAAGCAAGACTTTAAGATATCATCTGAATACTGTTGCTAAAACAAAAAGATTACAATAGAAAACAAAATCAACCATAATGTTTACATTCACAATTGATATTCAGTTTTACATTTTGAGATCCTCTTTTAAAAGGGGTGATGATCTATCTTTTTAAACTGTTTTTTATTAATATGTTTGTACTGTTTTCTGAGATCCACATCCACTTATATTGTTTTCAAGATTTTTTGTGTTTTTTCTGTTTTTGTCCGTCACCATCAGAACGCTGTGTTTTAATAGGTTTGGCTGATGATAGAATTAAAGGTCTTATTAAGGCCCTGCATATTAAAGCGCTAAACATGCAGTGCAGTTAAAGTGGGCGACAATGTACTGAGAAGGTAGAGCTTATCCATCCTTTTACATTACAGCGTAGTACATTCCAGAACCTGTGGTTTTGACGTATAAACTACGTTTAGTGGAACAACAAACTGTTGAGTTCTGAAAATGCCATTGGCTTTGGGACTGCGCATCGATGGATTTGCTCTCCAGTGTTTGGATTTTCATCAGTGAACATTAAACCACACTGAACCAAACTAAATTGACTGGACTGACACAGTTTCAGTTTGCTAGAATTTCTATGTTAAGCTGCATTGGCACAATCTACATTGTAAAAGCACTATAGGAGTAAAGACGAATTGAATTAAATGTTCATAATGATGGTTTCTCAGTTCATAACCCCTTTAAAGTACTATATATCTTATATGATGTAAGAGATACTACTCACTATGGCCCCAGAGCGCCTGACACTGGGCATCCCTGGTCTTGCAGCGACCCCCATAGCAGCGGCCCTGAGAAAGCCAAAAGAAATATCAGATTATTGTACACACCCGCTCACACACAAAATAATTGGATTGCTTTTGGCTCACATCATGTACAATTCAGAAATGTGGTCCTAAAAAGCATGACATTATATGATCATTGCATTCTATTATTATATTTTTACTGGATTTGTTTGGTTTTGGGATAATTTAACAGTGAATGCCACATTTCTAAAATACTAGGTTTGCCTTAAAAAACTAATAAATTTTTAATAAATGCCATTTATTATGGTTTATATGATTGTTTTTAAAAATATTTCCCAGTGTTATGCAAAACACAATGTAGACTATTGTATTATTGCAGTAAGAAACATAGTTCATAAAGGACAGAACATTTTTACCAGTCCAGCATCGCACATGTATCCATCCAGTTTGTGTACATTATGTGGACACTGTTTGAGAAAAGAATAAAGCGTATGTAAATATTACACATTGCATGATAACTGTTTATTATTTACTGTTCATGACATTTTACATAAATGTATCATTACTTTACTCGAATCTCCAGAGCAGGTTTCCGGCACATCGCAATCATTCACTGCATCCCTGCAGATCACTCCTCTCTGCTCATACTGCAACACACGCACACACGCACACACACACACACACACACACAAACACAAACAATTTGGTTTTTAGTGCGTAAATGCACAACAAATCTATTTAAAATGAATCAAACAAAAAATGTGTTTTGATAATACCCAAGCTCATTTTTTATGTGTATCCCTATACAGTTGAAGTCAGAATTATTAGCCACCTTTAAAAATTTTTTTCTTTTTTAAATATTTCCCAAATGATGTTTAACAAAGCAAGGAAATTTTCACAGTATGTCTAAATATATATATATTTTATTATTTGTCTTATTTGTTTTATTTCGGCTAGAATAAAAGGAGCAGTTTTTAATTTTTTTAAAAACACTTTAAGGTTGAAATGATCCATTTTAAGCAATATTTTGTTTCGATAGTCTACAGAGCAAACCATCATTATACAATAACTTGCCTAATTACCCTAACCTGCCTTGTTAATCTAATTAACCTTTTTAAGCCTTTAAATGTCACTTTAAGCTTTATGTATTTCATGGCTAAGATAATATAAATCAGTAATTAGAAATGAGTTATTAAAACTATTATGTTTAAAATATGTTAAACAAATCTGCTCTTTATTAAACAGAAATTGGGGGGAAAAATAAACATGGGGGCTAATTATTCTGACTTCAACTGTATACTGCACATTTCTGGAGTTCGCAAAATACCTCCCAAGAGGTACATTGTTTTGGCAGTTTTTGTTTTCGTGAATCAACCAGAGGCTGCTGTGTATGCTTTTCCAAATCTCAAGTTTCTCTCAAGCTGTTCTTGCGTTAATCCACTAGATGCCGCTGTTGACTGACTGAATGACCGATGATGACACCACTCACCACATTCCCTAAACCCATGCGATACTGTTTTCAAAAGCACCGATAGACTAGATCATCCCTACCCTAAACCCAACCGACAGTGTTTTCAAAAGACAAAATGCAGCCATACATAGCTTTGGCTACATAATTTGCGATCTCCAGAAATGTAAAAGGGGGTAGTTTTCACAATGAGCCTGTGTTGTTAAAATAATGATCTATTGGTTAATGTTTGTTAATGCATTCACTAACGTGCACTAGGACTACATTTACACAACAACTATATAGCCAAAATTGCCTTTCTAGACTAGTACACCTACGAGTCCACAAAGTAGTGCAAATGGATTTGCTATTTAAACAACCTGACGCAAAACCTTAATAAATTTGGGTTGCACTGGTCAGAAAATAGCACCAAATTATGCAAAACAAGTCTTGTGCCTTATTGCGCAGGGTAAATAATAAGAGTCAAGTCACTTGCATCCTTTTCGACAGAAGATATTACTTTTACTTTATGGATTTTTTATGATGCCTAATCACCAAGGTCTAGCAGGTTCTAAAAAGTGAACAATTATGGCAGTTTGACAGCCCATGGTCACAAAATACAGATGAAAATTTCAATGTAAATAATTGTAACATTACTTACCTTGCAACGGTTACAACACAATCCATTGCTACACATTGCATCATGAGTTAAAGTGCATTTTTTACAGCATGCACCCCCAGCCCGAGAGCAATCCTACAAGAGAGCACAACCGGTAAAAACCAATGCATTAATTTAATCACAGCATTGCAATAGACAACTTTCTGTTCCCTTAAACTAACACATTTGAAAACAGTGTGAAAACAATGAATTAATGAATACTCTATTTCTTTTGGATGTTGAGAGCAAATTTGTCAATTCTGGTCTTCTTGTTCTCACCACTTGAGAGCCACAGTCACATTCTTCGCCCTGTTCCACAAAACCATTGCCACATTCAGGAGGATCCAACAACTGTATTGAAACAACAACAACAACAAAAAAACATGTCACTGCCAATTCTATAAAATATGCAGTGTTAAACAAATCACTCAAGTCAAAAACTGAAGCAAGCTAATCTATAAACAACCTAAAATATATCCTGAAATAACTAGATGGTTAAGGTAGGTAAATAGATGACAATTCATTTATATTTATTGTGATGTCTGTAGGTTTGAGGGTTGTGTTCTCTTTCCAGGCATGCTCTGCAACAATAGTGCCACAGGTAAGCTGTTGTTTATGGTAAATATTCACTTTTTTAATACATAATTTGCAATGGTGTTATATTTGATTAGTTCTATTTGAAGTTGAGTATTAATAAAGTATCAGTATCAATAGTATCAATAAATTGATTGGATTGGTTTGTGTTAGCATCATTATAAAATCTTAGGAACTTTTAGGAACTCTAGGGAAGCGGTTATCAGTTCAGGTCCTCGTAACCCCCAGTCTGCACATTTTGTCTCTCCTACTGATTCAGAGGTTTCTTTCTTTTGACTGTAAATGCTCTGCAAAGTGGACATCACAGAATTTTCTGTTATGATTTTCATGTGACTTTTATGCAAATTTCATGATTACAGAAAAATAATCCTTCACACTTCTAAAATAATTTTTGTCTGAAGACACTGCAAATAGTGCAAATCTTTAAACAAATCTTAAAGGGTTAGCTCCCTCATCTTCCATGGTCAGCAAGAGTCCTGAGACATATAAAGTCTAGAAAAGGAACAAAACATTTTGTCAAAACATTTAAATTGACTTCAGTGGTTCAACTGTAATCATTTGTAGCTCCAAGAACACTTTTGCGAACCCAAAAATCTGTAAAGCAACTTTGTTCACCAATGTCTCTTAAAATTAGGGTGCACACTTACTATGGACAATACAATGCTTGCTTGTTGCACTGCTGACCTAAAAGGCAAAAGCCAGGTCATCAACCTAGTGCAGGAAAGAAGATATATATGTTTTGACACACAAAAGGGGTTTTGGAGCTTCATACACTATACCAATTACAGTTGATCTGCTTAAGTCACATGTTTTGGTTTTGGTTCTTTTTCTGGACATTGAGCATCCTGGCACCGTTGCTGTATATGGAGAATGAGGGAGCTCTTGGATTTCATCTAAAATGTTTAAATTTATGGTTCAAAGATGAATGAATTTCTAAGGGGTTGGAAAGGCATGAGGGTAAATAATAACAGATTAATAATAAAAAATTATGTTCAACTAATCCTTTAAAGTTCAGCCATTCAGTGAACACTATGTAGGGAATATGTCAAAGGAGCTCTTTTCTAACAAGCTGGTTGTTCAAATCAGGTGTATAAAACAAGAGACATGCAAAACGTGCAGACCAAGATGCTTAAAAAGGAAGATACTTTAATGCTTTATTACTGTGTCTCCAACCATGGCACTGTTGTCTCAAAATGAAAGTTGTGTGTAGATTTGCAAAAGGCACAAGCACTGTGTGCCTTAGTGCAGGCACTCACCAAAGGGCATGATTTTATAGCCAGCATGTCTATCTTTCCTATGGACAGTGAATATCGTATTGCAATAAGCATCAAGACCTGAGCTCCTTTCTCACTATCATAACAACAAAGCCTTGTTGTTGGCAGTATATGCAGTACTTTTTGACAAAAGACAAAGGTTGCCCGCAAATGGTATTGATGTAGACACCAGAAATGCCAATTCAGCTGCAAGTTCACATTTTTGCTATTGTCAGTGCATTATGATGTGTGACTGTTTACTTGCAAAGAAAAACCATCAGCATGGATGACAGGTTTGCAGAAACATTTTGAGCAGATACAGTAAAAGGTCCTGACAGTTTTACTGTCTCTGGCAACCATACAGGAAATAGAACAATTTGTTCAACACTGAAACCTCTTCACAATCTGAAATTGACCAAACTTAGCACTCAACTCAGCAAGTCCTTACTAGAGTATGCAGCGGTGGACACTTTACCCCCTTTATCAGTAGCTAACATTTAACGCACACGAGGAGACGTGCAGTCTCCAGAAAGAAATCTATGTAGTAAAGATGTCATAGGAGGTCTATCAAGAGCTTTGGTTCGTGAGACCTTTACCATACTCTCGCACCCACAAATGGACTGGCAGAGCATTTCAACTGTAACATAACCACTTTAGTTTGGCATTTTAGTTGAACAACAATGGCACTGCCTCACTCTAGTTTAGTTTGACAATGTAGGAATTCACAAAATGCTCCCAATTCGGTTTGAAAAGAGATGCAGATTCTTTAAGGTTTGGTGCTGGGTTACAAGTATAATCTTGTCAATAGGCTATACGTAGGTTACATTATATTGGGCTCTAGCTCTATTGAGGATGGTATTTCTACTATCATTTACCAGATTTTCATCACTTGTATAGTTTTGTAAATATACATGTCAAGACAAAAAATAAAAAAAAATCCAGACAAACCTTGTTTGGTTTATTGAAGAGACAGCTCCCCCCTCCTTGCTGAAGGAATTGAATGTATTCCTCTATACTGCACCGCGAAAACTTTCTGGGTAGATAGTACCTGTGAGGATTACATGATAACATTCACACTGTTCAATTACACTTGCCAACCGCTTTTATCCAGATTAAATAAACTTTACAAAAGCGTAGAATTGCAATTAGTATGCTCTAAAACTTAAGCAATAATTATCTTTAATGAAGTTAATAAATTATTATTTTTTTTATTATAGGAATAAAAATTTTATTGTATATAAGAATATACAAATTGATAAAAATTACAAACACTTTATGGGTAGCATATTTAAATTACTGTTCTAGTTTAATGGTAAATACATACAGTTGAGGTCAAAATTATTAGCCCCCCTGAATTATTAGCCCCCACCCCAATTTTGCTTAAAGGGGCTAATAATATTGACCTTAAAATAGATTTAAAAAAATAAAAACTACTTTTATACTAGCTGAAATAAAACAAATAACCTTTTCTCTGGATGAAAAAAATATGATCAGAATTACTGTGAAAACTTTCTTGCTCTGTTAAACATCATTTTAGAAATATTTTAAAAAGATAAAACGATTCAAAGGGGGGATTATAATTCTGACTTCAACTGTATCTTTCACCTTCCTGTGTACTTAGGGTAAAAAAGGAAACAATTCAATTCCTAATTTTGAGGTATAGCAGAAAACATGACAAAGAAGTGTAATTAAAATTTCAATATTAGAAATTATAAAACCTTTTTGCCAACTAGGTGTCATCAGTTCAGTCCTAGACAATCCCCTCACTGACCAGCAGAGGTCCCCATCCCAAAAGTTTTGACTTTTCCCAAACGACATATCACATAACCCTGTGTCTGGCGCTGATTTTGCTGCACTTGATGCCAATCCATCTCAGCCTTTATAAGCGGATAAGATCCTTATACTTGCAAAGTCTTGTTTTGACCTGCAAAAACGTTTCTGATCGTTTTCTGCTGTTATCTGCCCTAGTAACTCTGTTGCTGATCTTTTTTGATTGTTTTGACTGTTTGCTGCCTACTCCCGAACTCTGACTGCTAATAGTACTAGCCTGTCTGCTATCTGCCCATGACCTTAGCCTGTATCATCATTTATGATTGTCTGCTAGCTGCCCTGATCATCATCTGCTACTTTCCTATTACTCATCTGGATTACTGCATTGTGTGAAACATTCACTTATCTATCTTTCTGTGATTCACTGAACAACAACAGCTCGCTCATTTCATATCCCTAATGAAGGAAGTTTTCAAACATCCTGAAGGAGAAAGGGATGCAAGGAAAGAAATCCTTTCATTGCGTCAAGGGACTTGCACAGCAGCAGATTACACTTTGCAGTTCCGCACCCTTGCAGCTCAAACTGGGTAGATGGGTGATACACTAACATTGTTTTATTAGCAAGGATTAAACAGTAAATTGCAATCTAAAGATACCCCCATCTAGCCTGAACATCCCCCTGAAATCATTGACTTGGGATTTTAATAAACAAAAATCCACTCAACCTTCCCTTCACTGTCAGTATGATTGCTCCATTGAATTATTGTCTGGCACTACATCCCGTTCATAGTCGATTTTTTCCTCTATCCAACCCAGAATTCGAAGCCATGAAAAAATACATAGAGGAAGAACAGATTCTATTCTTCCCAAGGGAAACTATCCAAGAGTTTCATCTGACCATCCACTTCACCAAGCTTTTGACCAGTTTTTTTTTTATATATTAATAATTAATACTTCGTCCTTGTATTAATTATAAAGATTTAAATCAGATGACTGTTAAATATTATTACCCCTTACCACTAGTCCCAGCTGCACTTGAACAACTTCATTCATTCATTTACTTGTCGGCTTAGTCCCTTTATTAATCCGGGGTTGCCACAGTGAAATGAACCGCCAACTTATCCAGCTAGTTTTTACACAGCAGATGCCCTTTGGGCCGCAACCCATCTCTGGGAAACATCCACACACTCATACACTACAGACAATTTAGCCCACCCACTTCACCTGTACCACATGTCTTTGGACTGTGGGGGAAACAGAACACCCGGAGGAAACCCACGCGAAGGCAGGGAGAACATGCAAGCACCACACAGAAACACCAATTGAGCCAAGGTTCGAACCAGCGACCCAGCGACCTTCTTGCTGTGAGGCGACAGCACTACCTACTGCGCCACTGCCTTGCCCTACTTGAACAACTTTACATTGTCATTTTTTTTTACTATAGTAGATCTATGTAGTGTATACCAATTGATAAGGGTCAAGGAGAGGAAAGAGTGAAAAACTGATTTTTCCACCTGCACTGGGCACTATGAATATTAGTTGATGCATTTCAGACTGCCAAACTGTACATCTGCGTTCCAGGTCTCTTCTCGGCTCCCATTCTATGTCATCCAGACCCCAATATTGATGCTTCTATTTTAGTACAGTAAAGGTTTACCTGACTATGGGAAGAAAGGTGGTTGGAATCCTAAGACACAATGAATTATACACATATTTCGTTCAAAATGTCCCATTCAAAAGGAGCTACGATGAGTATGCTTGGTAAGATGGGGCAGCCAGTGATCTCATGGTTGTGTTGAGAGAATGTTTGCTTTAATACTCTTTGAGCTTGGTCGATAAGTATCAGGAAAAACAAAGCTTGTGAAAAATATTGCTCATCTGACCTGCCAGGGATTTGCTTCTTAGCTGAATGTATGTACGCAAGGTTCTTGTGGTCAGTAATAATTGTAAAATGGTGTTGCTTTCATGATGAAAAGTTATTAGTTACCCACTTTGTAATTTCTCTCTGCCAAATTTTTTGTGAAAAAAAAAATAATACATATGGGTGAAGCTTCCAGCTTTCATGAATAGCTATAGAAAAGTGAGACAACATGCAACTCTGCTCATTTACACCTCCAACATGCCATTAGAAGATTTAAAGAGCTAGCTTTGAGAGTGGGTATGGCTATCCACTCGAAATCTTCATCTTCATCTACCCTGGAAAAATCTTATAATCTGGAAAAGTCTTACTGTATGTATGTGAGCCCATTCCAAATCCTCAGCCTCATAACACCTGTTTTTTTTTTGACCAAATAATTACCGTATTTCTTCCACTTTCCATGTCCCCATGTGCTTAAGCCCACTGCAGGTCCAGTTGAAGATGAGAGGGAGTTGCCAACTCCCTCTCAGTGTTCAGACCTCACAATCCATCATCATTGACGGCGAGAAGGCACATCAGGTTTACAAAGGCCAGGGAACAACACTCCAGTACTTAATTGACTCCCAAGGAAATGGTTCTGAAGAACGCTCCAAGGTAAACCATGAGGACATCCTTGACCCATCTATGTTCATCAAACTTTACCGACTACTGCCAGAAAGTCTGGTTCCTTGACCTTGATGGAGACCCTGGCGTCGCTTGCCTTCTCACATCAAAATCCACACGCTGTCACCAGTTCGGTTCTAAACAATCCCCTCACTGACCAGCAGACGTCCCCATCGCCAAAGTTTTGACTTTTCTCAAACTACATATCCCATAACCCCGTGCCTGGTACTGATTATGCTGCACCTAATGGCAAATCGTCTCAGCGTTTGTGAACAGAAAAGATCCTTCTGCTTAATGCAAAAACCTTTTTTTGACTCGCAAACATTTCTGAACATTTTTTCTAGCTATCTGCCCTAGTCACTGTGTTGTTGACCTTATCTGTTTCAATCATTTTGACTGCTTGCTGCCTACCCACGAACTCTGCCTACAATTTGTGCTCTGTATGTCTGCTGCCTGCCCATGACTGTATCATTGTTTATGATGGTCTGCTATCTGCCCTGACCATCATCTGATACTTTGCTGGTAATAATTGTGATTCTTCTTCTGGACTATTGCATTGTGTGAGCCATTCAACCAATTATCTTTCAGTGATTCACTCTTTATCTCGTAATACTGTGTTTGACAATAATAAAGAGTTTTCAAGCCCGTTTTTTGGAATTTATAGGCATTAACACAGAAAGAATGAAACAATTTTATTGGACTAGAGTGGAATAACTTAACCTGTTTTTAATTTATTTTAAACACAAATTGATTTAAATTTTTTATATTTTCAGAAGTTAAGAAAATTAGTTTTGAGGGATTTTTACAAAATAATGAAGTGCGCAGATACATTGTTTAAGAACTACTATATACATATAAAATAAGATGAGTACATTTTGATTTCATGCTTATTTTAACAAGGAGTCAAATTCAATTAAATTCTGAATATTGTCAAACATTTGAGGCTGTGCTTATGCTAAAAAAAAAAGTTATGAACCCCAAAAGTTTACTCACCCAGTATCCTCCATGATGCACCCTAACCATGGATCAGGACATCTACAGTCTCCTTGAACACACATACAAACTTATTAAAACAATTGCTCCCATTTTTTTTCTAGTAAAACAGTAAAAGATTTAAAAGTTTTAAGTTTGTTTACCAGCAGTAGCGCGGTCTTTATTCCACATCATTCCAAGGTTCTGTCCTAAACTCTGACACAAAGTGATAGCCATGGGCCCTACATTTCCATACTGACATAAATAGACAGAAGGTAAAATCATAGTCATTTCACAGATTCTAGGCACAAAATGATAAAAAAAAAAAATTTATTATAGAAAAAAAAAGTTTAACAATGCCCCTGGTGAAGAGTGTATTTTTTGATCTGTATCAGCACCAAACACAACTGCAAAAGTTTAAAAACACTCTAGACAAAATGGGCTTTAAACAACATCAACATTAAATTATTTTGTGATGACGTTGCGTAAGGGAAAACACATACAGTAGACTGAAGACTATTAACTTAATCAGAACATAGTCAGTTATTTACATCAGTTGTTCTCAATCGTGGTCCTTGCAGTGCCCTGCACTGCTTATCTTGCATGTCTCTATTTTTAAACACCTGATTTAGATAACCATCTCATTAGAGGAGAGCATAATGTTCACTGCTCTTTACCTGAGCTGAACTTTGTGTAGCGCAAATCTTGTTTGTTCATAAAAAACAAACAACATTTGCGCTACACAAATATTTGCTGCATTTTAATAATTACAGTAGTGAGAAGGGTTACTGTAATCATGTGATCAGCACAGAAGTAAGTTTTTGTGAAGGTTACCCTTTCATGCTTTTAAATTGGAATCATAGCAGATTATCCTTTGATGTAAACTGTGTAGGGCACTTATGGTCAAATGGAACAAACCTCTGAAAATCTCTGTAAATTGTAATATATTTATTCCTTCATTCCTTTTCCTTCGGCTTAGTCCCTATATTCATGAGGGGTCACCACAGCAGAAGTAATTGTCAACTTATCCAGCATATGTTTTACACAGCCGATGCCCTTCCAGCTGCAACCCAGTACTGGGAAATTGTAATACATACATACATACATACATACATACATACATACATACATACATATAACATAACATTAGTCACATTTTTTGCAATTAATATTGCATTTTGATTATGCATGCATTTAAATTCATGCAAAATATTGGGGGAAAAATACTACACAATTCAATCATTCATTCATTTTCTTTTCGGCTAAGTCCATTTAATAATCAGGGATCACCACAGCACAATGAACCACCAACTTATCCAGCAGTGTTTTACGTAGCGGATGCCCTTCTAGCAGAATATGCATACATACCATTCTATGCATACATACTCATTCACACACTTACACTACAAACAATTTAGCTTGCCCAATTCACCTAAACCACATGTTTTTGGACTTGTGGGAAAAACCAGAGCACCTGAAGAAAACCCACGCGAACACGGTAAAAACAAGCAAACTCCACTCAGAAATGCCAACTGACCCCAGCTGGGGATCGAACCAGAGAGCTTCTTGCTGTGAGGCGATTGTGCTATCCACTGCGCCATCGTGCTTCCCTACTACAAAATTTTAACAAAATAATTTTTTAAACAAAATTAAAAAAAATTATTACAAAATTTTCCCTATCCTATAAATTTAGGTGTACTAATTTTAGACCGTTATCTTGTTATTTTGTTAGATTAGCTCCAGATTTGGATTCAGTACTGACTAAACTAATGTATACGCACAAATAAAAAATGCACAAATGTAAAGCTTCCTATAGAATATAATAATTTAAATGAGAGATTTGTAATGGACATACTCATATACATTTAAGCACTGTATGTGTATATATATATATATATATATATATATATATATATATATATATGATACAGTGCATCCAGAAGGTATTCATAGCGCTTCACTTTATTAAAAATGTAAACCCTTGAAAAATCACATGTTCATAAGTATTCAAAGCTTTTGCCGTGAAGCTCTAAATTTGAGTCATAAATATGAATTCACTTTCAAAGAGAATTTTTTTTCCCTTGGAATAAAATGCACTAATAAATCAGGTACAGTGACACCAGTATAAAATGTATCAGTAAAAAAAAGGTTAATGCAAAACAGCTAGCTCAAGGGAGAAATGGTGATGGCTCACTGTATCTTTAGTTTGGCAAGCTCTGTGCTGTTTCCATTTAGATCTCACCTCATTGACTCCTCCTCCTCTTGTTGGTGAGCAGATCCCCTCAATGTAGGCAGTGCCACTGCGACTGCTCTGGAATGTGCGTCCCCTGTGGGTCAAATAATACCCAGAATACTTACTTTAACAAGAGACACACAGAGTTTTAAAATTAGAATTTAAATTATTTGCTGCAAATATGTTACAGGATTAGTTCACTCAAAAAAACAAATGTTACATTACTCACCCTCATGTCATTCCAGTCCCTTTTGTTCATCTTTAGAACACAATTTAACATATTTTAGATGAAATTTGAGAGCTCTCTCATGTTCTGTCGACGGCAGTAGTCCAGAGATGTCCAAAGATTTCCAGAAAATAAACTAAAAACATTGTAAAAACATTCCATGTAATTTCAGTTGTTTATCTGTAATCATACACAACTCCAAAAAACACCTTTGTGTGCCAAAAAAATGTAAATACAACTTTGTTCGCCTATATTTTCAAACAAAGTGTGTTTACTAAAGACAGTACAATCAGCAGCCATTAGTACTGGCCATAGTAAATGCACAACCTGATCTGATACGAAAGACGTCTGCTGGACATCAGATACGGAACAAAGTTTTTTACATTTGTTAGTGCACAAAAATATTATTAGAGCTTCATATGATTACACGTTGATCCACTGAAGTCAGATGGAACGTTTTGACAATGTGTTTGGTTCCTTTAATAGATTTTGAAAGTTTTAGGAATATATGCTGTCTATGGAGGATGAGGGAGCTCTCAGATTTCTAATAAAATATTTAAAATTGTGTTGAGGATGAGTAATTGATAACAGAATATAAATTTTTGAGGCCCCATAAAATTATTTAAAAAGTGGTGTGACAAATGATATCTCTGATGGTGCATTTACAAATTCCAAATGATTTTAACTGTACTGTAGCAACACTAAACGCAAGATGATATAAAATGTTTTCAGTGCAAGATAAATGTTTATACTTTTTTTTTTTTTGAGCAAAAAAGCAAATAAATGACCAAAAATAATTTAAAACTCAATTTTTGTGGGTTTGAAAGTAGAGGTTAACTTTTTGGTTGGTTTAGCTAATTATTTGTTATCTGCTAAATGTATGGTTATCCAGAAAAATAAAGACAATCATCCACTATCATGATATGGTTCCCTCTAAAAAATTACATGCATACTAGGTTCTGCTTTTAGCAGAGAAAAAACACCAGTATGTTTACTTAGGCCCCGATTACACTAATACGTTTGAGTTTGAAAGTGCATAAGTTTTGCTATAGTTACGCCATCCGTCCACACTACGCCAGAGTTTTCGAGCGCCGAAAACGGAGCGTTTTGGAAATGCTGAAGAGGCCGTTTTCATTCTGAAACGCTGCTGCTCTGTCTCAGTGTGGATGGGGGAAAACAGAGACATCTGAAAACGGAAGCAGGCTGCCGACATTCGCTGATTCGTCGATCTGATTGGGGCTTTTCCTCAATATTAAGTAGCCTAACGTTACACACAGTTCAATCCTAGACTAGTCCAGTTCAGAACTAGAGGGAAGTGTAACATACGAGAGGAGGTGAGCTGTGTCACTCTTCTCTTTGATATTCTCCTTCCTGTATTTCATAAAGTCACGCAGGGTCACCAAAGGATCGTCACCGACAGAAACCATGTTCTGAGTTGACCATGTCTCCATAGCGACAAGCACTATTCTTGTGTTTAGCTGCTCCTTGTAAATCTGAAATGTAATAGAATATTTTGTTAACTATAAAAATGTCCACTGTACCCAAGGAAAATATTTTAAAAAATCATGAATGTCGTACAGCATCAGCCATGTTCACTACAGCTTTGGCAAAATTTCTTGTCTGAGGTGATGATCTTCTCATCTGTACAAACTAAAGAAAGAAACATCAAACAACATGAAGAAAAGCATCAAACACAGCATGCAAAAAGAAATTCAGCGATAAAACAACAAGTAAGATAAAACAAACTATTGTAAGATCTTACCAGGTCATAATCGTTGACCACTAGTAATTCTACATACTTTGTTTCACTCTGGACTGTGCGTGGACCCCTCCGAACCTGCAGTGCGACACCAAACCCAACAGTATTTTGTGTAAATATTTCAGAATGAGAATAATGTTTAACGCAAAATACTAGAGTTGACTATTTGATGATTCATTTTTATTTTAGTTTATATATATATATATACACACACACACACACAGGTTTTTGGCCCTATCTGTAATGTCAACAGGCCCACCCTAAATTTGATAGCTGGAGCCGGGATTGATGAAACCTCCAACAATAAATGGGGTATATGCACAGCTAGGGTTCTATTTTTTTCTAGGCACAAGTCTAAAGCGCATGGAGCAAAAGCATTAAAGGTGTGTCCAAATCCATTTTTTCTATTTAAAAAAAAAAGAAAACTGAATGCTTTATTAGCAAGAAAACAGGTAAACAGACCATCTGCAGCACGAGGATAAAGAACTAGCCCCCTCTATTCATCCTCTTTACTTTCTCTTTTTCTTCACTTACTCCTTCTCTTTCGTAGATAAGGAAATGTTGTTGTACACACTCCACTGAAGACATCCATTACATTTACATTTACATTTAGTCATTTAGCAGACGCTTTTATCCAAAGCGACTTACAAATGAGGAAAAGGAAGCAATTTACACAACTAATAGCAACAATGAATAAGTGCTATAGGCAAGTTTCAGGGGCTTCATGTATTAACGCTGCGTACGCACAAAAACTTTGTGTACGCCAGGTTTCACGCTCAGAATGGCTCACGTTTGGATTTACTAACAATGAATTGAACGTGGGAATGTGCGCAGCTTCACGGCAGCTTTCTGGCTGGCGTACGCACATTTTTTGTGCGTGTCTGTTTTATTTCCATTGGCGACTCCTAGAGGCAGTTGTGTTAAATTCCTCTAGTAGGTTCATCTAGTAGGTATGTAAGGTTTCCATACCATACAGTTGACCAGCTAAACATTAAAGCACAATTTGCAGCAGTCGCCTGTTTTCCCAATGTAATCTGAGCTATCTACTGCACGCACATTGCTATAAAGACACTATCTGAAGATGAATTTGCATGCGTGAATCAAAAACATTTCCATTCAATAAATGTGCAAATAAAATATGATGCACAAACTTATTGATGATTCCTACTTGTCTTTCTCGTGATAAATAGTGGGCAAAATCTGATATGTAGCGGGGAAAAAAAGAAGAAAGAGTTCATCAGACGCTGGATTCGAGCCGAGTTTAAACTCAAACGTGTCAATACATGATCACTTGTGTCTTATGAGGTGCGCCACTGAGACTGCTAAGGGGTACTGCAACATTTTACAGATATAAACCACACTATTTCTTTTTTAAATGCACTCAGTGCGATGTTCAGACCCAACTGTGTTAACCGCATCAGCTAAACTCTCCCACTCTATTTTTTTCTTTTGTTGTTAATTCCGGAGAACAAACTTGCAAATAACACAGCTTTTCTCCGGTCTACCTCCGAAAGCAGCACCTCCATTTCACATTCTGTTCAAAGTTTCTCTTTTTGCTTGATTTTGCCGTTGCTTTTTCGTTGAGTTTTGCCATTAGCATAGTCATTAGCATATTCATACGGGGGAGGAGGCAGGGAGGGGTTTTGTGCTCGTGCATGTTGCGCTCAGTTTCACGTTCATTCGGATGTACAAAAGAATATGCGTGAGATTCGGCATACGCAGTGTTTCATACATCAGAATTTTTTTCTGCGTACGCACATTTACAGCTTTGTGCGTACGCAATGTTTTAGTAAGATTTCCACGCAAGTCTTCGTACATGAGGCCCCACGTCTGTAAAGTCTAAGAAGAGAAGTATTAGTAGTATTAGAATTTTTTTTTTTTTTTTTTTTTTGGGTACAGTTAGTGTGATATTCAGAGAGGCAATTGCAGATTAGGAAGTGAAGTGGAGACTAAATAGTTGAGTTTTTAGTCGTTTCTTGAAAATAGCGAGTGACTCTGCTGTTGTGATGCAGTTAGGGAGTTCATTCCACCAACTGGGCAGATTGAGCGTGAGCGTTCGCGAAAGTGATTTCTTCCCTCTTTGGGATGGAACCACGAGGCGACGTTCATTCACAGAACGCAAGTTTCTGGAGAGCACATAGATCTGCAGAAGTGAGAGCAGATAAGAAGGAGCAAGGCCAGAAGTCACTTTGTAGGCAAACATCAGAGCTTTGAATTTGATGCGAGCAGCAACTGGCAGCCAGTGCAAACGGACTAGCAGCGGAGTGACATGTGCTCGTTTAGGTTCATTGAAGACCACTCGTGCTGCTGCGTTCTGGAGCAGTTGAAGAGGCTTTAGCCTTTAGCCATTAGCCTACTTATTCAATTTTGTTTGTTAAGCTCAAAAATTTGATACAAAACTATTTCTAAATTCAGTTCTAATTTCCAGCAAAGGAATAAATGAACAATAAGTGTAGGTCAAAAAACCAAACAAGTACTATGTCAAAGTGTGGTCAAAAAAGCAAACACATGTCCTATATCAAAGTGTGGTCAAAAAACCAAACACACATCCTATGCCCAATATGGTCCAAAACCTGTCAGGTGGACAAATTTAAGGTTTATTTTATTAAATAAAAAATAAATATGCATTTAGTGAGTAGCACGATTGCCTCATAGCAAGAAGGTCGCTAATTCGAGCCTCGGCCTCTTCATTTGGCATTTCTGTGTGGAGTTTGCATGTTCTCCCCGTGTTTGCATGGGTTTCCTCATGGGTGCTCCGGTTTCCTCCACAAGTCTAAAAACATGCACTATAGGTGATTTAGGTAAGCTAAATTGGCCGTAGCGTAAAGTTTGTGTGTGAATGAGAGTGTATAAGTGTTTCCCAGTAATTGGTTACAGCTGTAAGGGCATCCACTGTGTAAAACATATGCTGGATACATTGGCGGATCATTCTGCTGTGGCAACCCCAGTTGAATAAAGAGACTAATCCGAAAAGAAAATGAATGAATAATAATAACATTATACAACAGCAAGTTGTCATGAATAAACTGAAAAAAGCCTCTGAGATGAAGAAGGCATAGAGGCAGTGGTTTTTATGTTTATGTAGAAAATTATAATTTTTGTAACATTTTTATCCTTAAACTTTTTTCATTTGTAAAGATATTTGCGTATTGCTGAACATTCTGTGTGTATTAAGCAATGTGTAAGCATTTAAGGAGCACAACTAACATGTTCTGGCTGGACTTTAGACTTGCTTTCAGTTCCTCAAAATAGCAACGTGCCAACAATCCGCCTTAACATCCGCCTTCCATTCTTGACCGGTACACCCATGAGTCCAAGAAGTAGCGCAAATGGATTTGCTATTTAAACAACATGGCGCAAAATAGGAAAATTAGGGTTGCGCTGGTCTCAAAATAGCTACACATCGTGCCAAACACGTCTTGCACTTATTGCGCTGGGTGTATGATAGGGCCCCTTTTGTTTTTCAGCCAATGATAAACTTTGGGTGAAAGGTTTACTTGACTATTTTCAATTTTATAAGGTTCCTTTTACAGCATCAATGTTGTAATGTAATTAAAATATGTTCAGTTAAACAGACTTATGCATTCCTTAAGTTGTCCACAAAATGGAATTTAATGCAGTGCTTCTCATCTGGTCTGACACCCACTTTATATCATACTGTATATAAATCAGGCAGTAGATAATTGATTTTTAAGGAAATCAAATCTTAAACATGGCAATTTTATAATGGTGCGACAGTTTACCAAAAGCGCTTGGGCTGGCTGACTGAAAATGAAAAGTCTGTTCCCCTATATAGCATTGGTTAGAGTTTCAGTGTCAAACCCCTGCATACAGTATATAATGTACATTAAGTGCAGTAGTATTATTATAAAGTTAGACCAGTACTTCTTATTTGCTATTAGTATACAGAACTACGGTTAGGAATTCATGGGCTCAATATTAAACTATTCTCTATTAAATTCTTTATGACCAGTTGCCCTTTTTAGCAGTTTTTTTTAATGCATGATAAATCAAGTGATGTCAAAAATAAAAAGTCTCACCTGTCTTTTTGCCCGTCTTAGCCCATCTGTGAGCTCTAGCTGGCTTGTCTCCATAGAAACGGGATAGTCATTGTTAATGTCAGAGTCACTGCTGTTTCTTGTGCTTCCTGGAAGAGAAGATGCCATGTACGGGTGAAAACCATCCCGAACAAAAAGTTCCCACTCATCAGCTTTCAGTGGATCGATAAAGATGTCTATTACTGAAAACTGATCCATGCTGAAAATCAATATGCAGCAGACTGAGAAAAAGAGAGATGGAGGAAGGATGAAAAAGTAGATACAGTATGAATGCTGAGGAAAGCACTTGAGCATAAGACAGATAACTCACATATGTGTGTGTGTGTGTGTGTGTGTGTGTGTGTGTGTGTGTGTGTGTGTGTGTGTGTGTGTGTGTGTGTGTGTGTGTGTGTGTGTGTGTGTTTTATTAAAGGAACTATTGCATTGGAGCATTTTGTCACTCACAGCAAGTTTTACAGTGTAAGCATTTTGTAGCCAGATTTCTCTCAGAAGGTCACAGTCAACTTCCTCTCAAGTGTGCATGGACCAACTATAGACCATGGACCAGCAAAAAAAAAAAAAAAATTATAAATAAATAAAACAGAATATCTAAAGTTACAGCTTTAGTGAAATTCAGTGATGGAAACTAGAGACCATTTCATGATTGGCTGAGGTGCAAGTTAGTAATACAATGGTAAGTAACATAAACATTTTCATCTAAAAAAAACCAAAAAAAAAACAAACATCTGAAGCACCTCTGGCTATCTTTATATTATATTATCATAGCTTTATAGTCACTCATAGAAAAAGGCATTTACACTGTAAAAGCGATTAGTTATTTAATTAAAACATGAGCTACCTTAAAAGACTAATCTACACGTATAAGAAGAACAACTGACCTACAACTACAAAAAATATTGAAATCATGCCATTCCAAAAGAGTCGTGGTTGCTTTGGTTCAAGTATGTCCTCTGTCTGACACCGGATCAGATTAATAAGGCAATATTGGCAATGTTTCTATTCAAAGAATTAGACTTGTTAATTAGATGTGCAAAGAACCACTAAGATAACTGAAATATCTAAGATAGTTTCGAATGAACTTACATTTAAGATGGTAAACAATGTGCTTAGTCTGCTAGTTTGTTCATTACCGCCATCAAGCCCATTTTCTTTATCATGTGATATGTTAAAACGAAATCACATGACTTTTTTGATGTGCATGCAGGAATTTATTTGGTAAATGTGTTTCCATCAAAGTTTATGACGCGATTTGTTGTTATTTTCAGACCAGTGCAACAGTAATTTTCATGATTGTAATTTTCACCATGTTGTTTGAATAGCAAATCTATTTGTGCCACTTTGTGGACTCATTGTTGTTCTGGGCCAAAAAGGTGCATTGTTGGCATGTTGCTATTTTGACAAACTGAAATACAGACTGCGGCATTGACCAAATAAAACTTGGTCTAAAATCCAGTGCAGAGCACGTTAGTTGTGCATATGCAGGTCCAAAATGCGTAGGCCTCAATACACACACGATGTTCAGCAATATGCAAATATCTTTACATATGAAAAAAAAATTAAAGGATTAATGTTACAAAAATAATTATTGTCTATAAAATATAAAAACCACTACATCCATGCCTTCTTCATGTTGGGGATGGTTTTTTCAGGTTATTCATGACAATTTGCATTGTATAAAGTTATTATTATCAGATGTATTATTTATTACATGCATATTTATATTTGTTTTAATAAAAACCAGTTTAGATTTGTCCACCTGTTGAGTTTCAGAGACGTATGCATCACCATATGGGACATAAGAATAGGAAGTGTGTTTAGATATATCTCTAAAAATGTGTGTTTTTTCAGCACACTTTGTTATTATGGTTCATTTATTAGTTTGCTGGAAATTAGAACTGAATTTAGAAACAGTTTTGAAACAAATCTTTGCGCTTAACAACTGAAATTAAATATGTATGCTAACGGATGTCTTCAGCGGAGTGCGTACAACACCGTTTCCTCATCCACAAAAGTAAAGGAGTAAAGAGTAAAAGCAAACTAAAGAGAAAGGAAACAGGCCGAATGGAGGAGACTTATTCTTTATCCTCGCAATGCAGATGGTTTAACTGTTTTCTCACAAATGAAGCGTTCAGTTTTTCCACTTACAAAGGTTGTCATGTAAATAGAAAATGCGCCATGGCGTGACGCAACTGACTCTTAAAGGGAATGTGCGATGAGACTCTGGTTGGTTTGATGCACATTAAGCTCAAAACACACCCAGAACTCATTAAGAGAATAAGCACACACAAAAAACAGCAGTAAATTAAGAAAAGATCTTCATCTGTTTGACAGCACACATGCTACAAATCCTCACTACACACACAATTTTAAAAAATGCGCTGCATTTTCACACAATGCAAATAAATTGATAAAACATGCTGTATTTTCTCACAACACAAGCAATTTACGAAAACGCACTGCATTTTCTTACACTTTTAAATAGTACGGAACACAACAGAAATGTTTCAAGAGGACCCTAAAATATGATGGACCTAGCTATTTAAGTTGTGGTCATTTAGGCTAATTAAATACATAAGACAAGGGAATCAGGATCACCTACAACTTCACTGAGCAATAGTTACGGCACATCAGCGTCCATCATGTTTTGGGTCCACTTGAACCATTTCCATTGTTTTGTGAGAAAATGTATCGCGTTTTATTAATTTGTTTGCGCTGTGTGAAGTTGCAATGAGTTTTTTAATGTGTGTGCATTCTGAGGATTTTCTTAATTTGCTGGCATTTTTTTTTTTGTAATTGCACTTGTTTTCTGAAATTGCAGTATGCTTTTTGTTACTCTCTGCCCCCATATTTACAGTGTACTGAGGTATCTATGCATAAATATTTACTGTATATGAAAAGCAAAACTTCTGTGATCACTTGTGAGTGCCATTTTTTATTTGTTGCATGAGAGGAATCAGCGACTTACCTGAGAAATGTGGCATCAGCCGAATGTCTGCCATTCTGTATACAACATGAATATTTGCATCCTGTAAAACACAATCACACAAGATTTGTTATTCTTAAAAAACAAACAAACAAAAAAACAAAACAAAACACACACACATACACACATAATGCATCCTCCTCTAAAAGCTTCATAAATACTGCATCTAGCATGGTTCACTTGACATTTTTGACAGCTTGGGTTGTTTCAGTTTCACATATCAACATTTACTGGGTTCCAAGCAATTTGATAAGAAACAAATCAAACTGCTGTGGTGTTGAACCAGTTAAAATATTGGTAAATATGAACACACAGTTCAAAGATTCTTAGGTTTAGTGGAGTTACTACAACATATAGAATAACCCTCTAAGTATCTGTCTATTTTCCCAGAGATGGGTTGTGGCTGGAAGGGCATCCGCTGCGTAAAACATGTGCTGGATAATTTAGTGGTTTACTCCGCTGTGGCGACCCTGGATTAATAAAGGGACTAAGTCGAAAAGAAAATGAATGAATGAAAGAATTAATAAATTTGTCTGTTATGTTATAGAAAATATTAAATACAAATTAAAAATAGAGGAAAAATCTAAAAAAAGAAAAAAGAAAAATTTAGTTAAAATATTGAAGGTTGTAATTTTTTGTAATATTTTGCTTGAATTTAATTGTATTTACTTTCAATTTCTAAATGTGTTTGGTGACTAAAATATTATTTTAATAAATATATCTGTTTAATAAATCTGTTTTGTTTAAATGCACCAAAATACAATATTGTGCTAAATTGCAATCATCAGAACGTGTAAGTATGAGAAGTTTCATTAAATATACTTTTAGGTACAGCAAGACTTTAAAGTCCATATTTTTCTATATGCTTTTTTGCATCAAGACACCAAAAAATATTTTGAGCAAAATATCATAAACATGTATTCATAAACATTAATTTGTTCAAATGAATTAAAATTCAAAATAAAACCTGACGTTTTTGGGATGTTATTGTTTTGATGTTAGATAACTTTTCCTTGCAGATAAAACCCTTGCTGATGCACTGAGCTCCGCCATGTAAGGCTATTACACAACTATCCATTATTAATCTCCCATCTACCCAGACAGACAGAGACACTTTACATGTGGCTTTGAATACTTTATGAAAATGACCCATTTAAGAGAAGCGAAAGAGGAGTGGAGAGAGAGAGTGAAGGAGAGCCCGATAACAAATACAGATGAATAGACAAAGAAAATAAGCAAACAGATAGGAAGCAAGAGTAAATACCTCTTCGGCTTATCGTCTAACCACCTCTGGCATGGTGTGCCTCGGTAATTCTGCGTTCATTCAATTCATACATATAAAAGTACAGTATACCGGTAAACCCCTTTACTCACTAGTCAGCTTTTACAGTTTTTTTTTTTGTTAAAGAATACTGCACTCTTTTTGAAAACAGGCTCATTTTACAAGTTAAACTGTTTTAATTTTCTTTATCCATTCAGCCAATTTATTGGTCTGACAGGAGCTCTTTTACCTTAGCATACATCATTGAATCAGATTAGACTAATAACATCTCACTCAAAAATGTAAACAAAAATAAATATAATAAATAAAAATAATTATAATTTTTTTTTTTTTTTTATAAAGGGGACCAATTTTATCACCTTTTCAATATTTAAGAGAAGTCTTTTGTGTCTCACGAATGTGTCTGTAAAGTTTCAGCTTAAAACACCCATCAGATTATTTGTTGTACCTTTCAGACCATTAGAATCTTCTGCTCTGAACACTTTAAAGCTGCTTTTGTGGCCTGTGCCTTTAATGCTAGTTCTCTTTGCCCACTGTTCCCACGTGCCTGTCAGAGTACGCCTCAATCTCCACCTCGGCTGCATCAGATAAACTGCACAGTGACAGACATGAAGGAAACAGATCTCACTTAAGGTTTGTGGGAAGTACTACAATAAGAACTGTTCCTAATGATTATTTTGATGTACTTGCTGTGAAGTTAATTCAAGCCTTTCTGCGATGATGACAATGGGCTCTATTTTAAAGGTCCATGCGCAGAACGCAAAATGCAAAACGCAGGGCGCAAACGCTTTCAGGGCGTGTCAGAACGCATTTTTGCTAATTTAAGGACGGGAAAATCCACTTTGTGCTGTGGTGTATGGTCTAAAAGGGTTGAGTTTATTTTCTTAATGAGTTATAGGTGTGTTTTGAGAATAAACCAATTAGAGCCTCATCTCCCATTCCTTTTAAGAGCCAGCTGCTTCGCGCCATTAGCGCATTCGCTATTTACAGGACGTAAAGTAAGTCTAAGTGGAAAACTGAGCATTTTACTAGCAAACAGTTAACAGTTTTTTTTTTTTTAGAAAACTGTTAAACAGAGCATCTACTGCGTAAGAATGAGAGATAATGGATCTACTTTCACTTTCACTCTTGGATAGGGACATCAATTAGTCTATAAATAATTAATTGCGTTTGTTAAGCGCAAATATTCGTTTCAAAACTATTTCTAAATTCAGTTCTAATTTCCAGCAAACGAATAAATGAACAACAATAACGAAGTGTGCTCAAAAACCTGAGTTATATCCTAAAACCAGCCTGATCTCACGAGAAAACGTAAGTATTTTACGTTTTGGCAGTTTAGTGGCTAATTCGTACGAATTCGTACGATTTCAGTCGTACGAAATGATACGATTTTAAAAAAGAGGTGTGGCACCTAACCCCACCCCTAACCCCAACCGTCATTGGGGGAAAAGCAAATCGTACTAAATTGTACGAATTAGATCGTACGAATTCATACGAATTAGCCACTAAATGAAAAAGTTACGAATTGCCGTGAGATTGTGTTGCCTAAAACACATGCTGTGCCCCATATGGTCTAAAACCTGCAGGTGGGCAAATCTAAGCTTGTTTTTAATAAAACAAATATAAATATGGATATAATAAATAATACTGCTAATAATAATACATTATACAAAAGCAAATTGTTGTGAATGAACTGAAAAAGCCTCCCGAGATGAAGAAGACATAAAAGCAGTGATTTTTCATATTTATGTAGGCTAGAAAATAATATGTTTTGTAATATTTTAATCCTTTATATTTATATCCTATATCTATTCATATTATATCCAATATATCCTTAATATTTACATTTTTTCATATGTAAAGACATTTGCCTATTGCTCTCTTGTGCGTATTAAGCAGTGTGTAAGGAGGTGCAACTTTGCGCCGGAGTTTAGACCGGGTTTGTTTTGGTCTAATGAAAAATCTATTTTAGTTTCTCAAAATAGCAATGCGCCAGCAGTGCGCCTCAGAACGCCTTCCTTTTAGACCAGAACGCCTATGGGCGCACATATGAGCGCTAATGCATTTGCTATTTAAACAGTGCAGCGCAGCGCCTCAAAACAACTCTTGCGCCAAGCTAAAACTAGCAAAAGACTATTGCGTTGCCTTGCGCCACATTGCGCTGGGTGTATGATAGGGCCCAATGTCACACACAATGTTGTTACAAAGTTCCCGCACATACACACAGTTGCACACAGCATGCATGTTTAACTTTGGACTGTTTTTTCATAGCAAATGTGACAGGATACACATTAATACACACTACTATATAAATATCTGTTATGATAATGTAAAAATTAAACTTGATTTAATGTCCACAAACCTTGATTGAAGCGTCTTCTTCTATAATTTTACTATCATGCGTCTGTGGCGATAAAGTAAAATGGTAAAATGGCGACAGTAAAATGGCTGTAATTCATTACAAACATGCACTGCTTTAAAAACGGTTTAAGACTCATTCTTAATCACATTTGATGATGATTGATGATCACAGTGTGCTCAACAGATCTTTTAATCCCAGTTGCTTTGCTCATGTCCTGCCTTGCTTATATGATTATTCGCATTACTTTAGAGACATGAAAGCTCACTCCTATGTCATGTTGCAGTGGGCCTCAAATGGCAGGGATTTGGATCCGATATTAATGACAGGAAATTTTAAAAAAGAGACTTATTATCTTTACAGTATATCCCTCCAATGTGACTGTGGACACACTATACCTACACACAGTTCTCACAAATTATGTTTTCATCATAGGTTCCCTTTAAAGCTTGACTCTTCTGTAGGTGAATCGTGTACCAAGGCTGACAGAAAATACATCAAATACATGTAATCCACACACCATTGGAAAAGTCTTTTACTCATTTATTTTACCATACCAGGGTGATAAAAGTCATCACTTCAGCACTTTATTCTTGAATGTTATAAGAGTAAATGTAAAGTCTGAGCTAGCAATTAGGAGGTTTTTGTTTTCAGAAAAGCTATTTTATTTCTTGCATTGTGAGTTTATACACTGAGAATTGCAAAAAATAACAATTAAAAATAAAAATGGCAATATTTTTTATTACATGGCATACACAATTAAATTAATTTGATGCTAAAATACATATTCTAAATAATTTATTTAGCCATTGCAAATGTTCATTTTAAAAATGTATTAATTATTAAATGCAAGTTGGATTATTTAATGGTCCTGAGCTAATGTGAACTAATTTTATTCAGCTTTTATACTGTAACAAGATCTTTGCTCATTGTTATTTGTTCATTGTTAATTGCTGCATTATATGTTACCAATAAATCATATAGTTCTAAAAAAGAGGTTATTTTTTAGGGTTATGTTTTGTTATTAATGCCATGTTCAGTTGACCTAGATTCTTTTCCTTAGAGTATTTTGTTTGTTTAGTATATAGGCTCTCAGTTTGAGCTGGTTCCCTGTCAGTATTGTATTTTCTTACCATGGAAAACACTTGTACTTTTAGTGTTTAATAAATAGTGTTTTAAATTTCTCTTGGTTCTTTCCAGAACAAAGCAGAGCCTTTCCAAAGCATCACATCATTATTATATAAATTATCTTTATTCAGAATTTAAATTGACAGACTTTGATATGATAATGTGGTGCTGCTAATATCACGCATAAGATGCTCTGTCGCATGTTTTCTCACTCAACATCCCTCCTTCTGCTCTTCACCTCCGTCCCACATACAGACGTCTGCTGATTCACCTGTCAGTCACCCGCAGTAATGCATATTTCTGTGCATGTGGCCAGTATTCAGTGCTTTGCTGTCTCTAAGTCTCCTTTAGCAGGATTATGTATCCACCTGCTATTTTTTCCAGACTGTAACAGGCAGATAGAGTGGCAGTCCTCTCCATGAGAAAGATGAGAGAGATGAATATTTCAGCTGCATACTGACCTGATCACTGCTGTTGTGCAAGGGTTCGATTCCGTATGAAAAGTTGCCATCTGAGAACATCCCTCTGTAGACACACCAATATCACAAATGTGAGACACTCCAAAGGCTACCACACAAATTTTAAACCTAAAATCCTTCAATGACAAGAATTAATAAGAAAACATTTGTTCTTTAATCTTAGTTATCTATATTATTAAATGCATATTCATTAATTGCATTTGGTAATATTAATTTTAACATTTACTAATTCATTATTAAAAGCAAAGGTTGCATCTAATCATTGTACAATACTATTATATTTTATTTTTATTATAAAATTTTATTCATTTTAACAAATTTACTACCAATTATGCAACAGACCTCAAAATAGGTTAATTTTTCAAGCCACCTAGAGTAACAGTTGACATAAATAATTTTTTTTAGTTCGTTCAGCTGAATTCCGAGTGGGAACACTTTTTTTGCTTCATAATAAATCATTAAATCGGAGAAGAGCATTAGTACCCTGCTCTCAGTTAAGTAACTAGACAACAGCCATAGTGCGGGTGCATGTTTATTGCATGATTATTACACCAGGAGTGAGCTTCTGAAAATCATTGTTAGCCAACTAAGGTAGGCTAGGTAGATTTGGTGTTTCCCAAATACATTGTTCCAATGAACATTCGCAAACTGTGTGGCCAACTTGTTCTTTTTCAACTACACCTCTAGAGCTGTAGTTAGAAGCATAGTTCATGGTTGTCAGTGGTGTAAAGTAAAAAATGACAAATACTCAAACTAGAAAAAAAAGAGTAGTTTTTCTCAGAAATTAAACTAAAGTAGTTATAAAAATGTGTACTTTTACTTTTTCCTAGAGTACATTTTTAGTGCAGTATTGGTACTTTTACTCTACTACTTTCCTTCAACCTGCAGTATTTTTTCCTTTGTATGGAAATTAGAAAAATCAGTCATGTGATTCATATCCGATCAATCACACAAAAAAAGGTAAATCGCATTACAATGAACTACCTCAAGACATGGGGTGATTCATAATTGCAGCAATTAAAAGTGTCCAGGAAGATGTCCAAAATCTTTACAAGCAAAGAACCAGAGACTGTTTAGATGCATGTCACTGATGAGAAGATGACAGATGTTTACTGTATAATAATCAAAATGGTCTTCAACACCCAGCAGGCACATGACATCAACATGATGTCAGATTGACATTATACCCCAACGTCATGGGGACATTGCACTTTGTTTGGAAATGAAAATCAGGTTGACGTCAGAACTGGGTTCCCCCAGTTAAGTTGCCCCAACACAAATTAGGTTAACTTAACATTTGTAACAATTTTATATGAATTGAACATAAAAAATTAAGCTGTCCCAATGAAATCTCAAGAATTGTGTTGTTTCAGTTAATTTTAAATAAGTAGTTTGCAAAAAAAATGTTTTGAGTGTTGGCTAGACATTGAATTTGGGTCACCCAACATCACTACCTAAGTCTAATTTAATGTTAATGACTTATGATGTTGTGTACCTGCTGGAAAATAACTAAATGCACAAGAAAATGTTACGTTTACACATCCACAAATTACATGTAAATGCATCAGCTTTTTTACAGTGTAATACTCAATACTCACTACTCTTGAGTACTTTTAAACGGTCTACTCATACTTTTAGAAATATTTGCAACAGATACTTTTACTCTACTTGCACATTTTAAGGCAAGTAATAGTTTCCCTTCGGGTGGGGAACTCCAATGCTATTAGTGGATTTGAATTTAGAAATCCACGAATGGGGGAGGATTCGGTTCAGAAGCCGCTTGTCTGAAGAGTATAGAACAGGCCAATGAATTGCACAGGTGTGCTTCATTGCCAATTAACCCAGCATATAAGCACACGTGGAGCAAGCAGACGCCATCCTTCCTTTTCGCTTCAGAGACTTTCTGATCGAGTCGATGAGGGTTCCTCCTGCTGTGATCCAGCGATTCCGAGTGAACGAGAGGATTCTCCCAGTCCAGAGTGTGTACATGCAGCGGCAGAAGGTCGAGCTGGGTTTCTCCCTTGCCTGGCGTTCTTTAGGTCCGATCCTCCAGAGCGGTGCGTATAAAGTTGCAACTTCACAAAGAGAGCAACACTTTTCAGGACGGCGCTCCGACTGTGCGTTTCTGGATGCGGTGGTTTTCTGTCCTCGGATGATGAGTACGGGCACTGCGTTACATGTTCCAGCATGTTAATGCGCTGCTCGTGGGCAGTTCATGCCGTCATTGCGATGCCATAACTGTTGCACAGTAAAGATCCTTTGCAAATGGGCAAACCACCCCAGTTGTCCCACGCAGAAGCGCATCCTCCGGTGCGTTCGTCCTCTGGGTTGGTCTGCAGCATTAGACCTGATGGACGCGTATTTCCGTGTCTCCACTCTTCCTCGCCACCACCAGTTTCTGCGGTTTGTGTTCAAAGGTCGAGCGTGGTAATACAAGGTCCTCCCCTTTGGGCTCTCTCTGTCTCCGCGGGTCTTCACCAAACTCGCGAAGGGTGCCTTAGTGCCCCTTCGGCTCGCGAGCATCCGCATACTCAATTATCTCTACGACTGGCTGATTTTAGCCCACTCGCGGGAGCAATTGATTATGCACAGAGACAAGGTGCTCCGGCACCTCCGCCTGTTAGGGTTGCAGGTCAACCGAGAAAAGAGCAAACTCGTCCCTGTGCAGAGGATCTCTTTTCTCGGAATGGAGCTGGACTCGGTCACCATGGTAGCGTGCCTCTCCAGAGAGCGCGCACGCCTGCTGCTGAACTGTCTGAGAGAGCTCGACAGCAAAATAGTGGTCCCACTGAAATACTTTCAGAGGCTCCTGGGGCATATGGCATCCGCAGCAGCCGTCACGCCGCTCGGACTACTCCATATGAGACCACTTCAGCACTGGCTTCGCGATCGAGTCCCAAGATGCGCATGGCATGCTGGCACACACCGAGTCTCTGTCACTGTGCTGTGTCGCCGCGCCCTCGGCCCTTGGAACAACCCCTCGTTCCTGCAGGCCGGTGTGCCTCTGGGACAGGCGTCCAGTCATGTTGTTGTTTCAACAGATGCTTAAAACACGGGCTGGGGGGCCGTGTGTTGCGGGCATGCAGCTGTGGGCCTATAGGAGGGTGCCCAGCTGCATTGGCATGTCAATGGCCTAGAGCTGTTGACAGTGTTCCTCGCTCTCCACCACTTTTTTTCAGGTGATGGAGCAGCAACTCGTGCTGGTCAGGACGGACAGTAAGGCGGCGGCAGCGTATATCAACCATATGGGGGGTATGCGCTCTCGCCGCATGTCTCAGCTCGCCCGCCGTCTGCTCCACTGGAGTTACCCTCGGCTGAAATCGCTGCGCGTCATACATATTCCAGGTATGCTCAACCATGCAGCCGATGTGCTCTCACGGCAGCAAATACACTCTGGAGAATGGAGACTCCACCCCGAGTCTGTCCAGCTGATATGGGCGCAATTCGGGGAGGCCCAGTTTGATCGTTTTGCTCCCCCCGAGAATGCTCATTGCCAGTTGTTTTTTTCCCTGATCGAGGGCTCTCTCGGCACGGATACACTGGCCCACAGCTGGCCTCGGGGCATGCGCAAGTATGCGTTTCCCCCAGTGAGCTTGCTCGTGCAGTTACTGTGCAAGGTCAGGGAGGACGAGGAGCAGGTTTTGCTAGTTGCGCCCCTCTGGCCAAACCGGACCGGGATATCAGAGCTCCCTCCTCGCAATGGCCCTGCCCTGGCGGATCCCTTTGAGAGAGGACCTACTCTCTCAGGGACAGGGCACCATCTGGCACCATCTGGCACCCTTGCCCCGATCTCTGGAACCTCCAGGTGTGGTCCCTAGACACGAGGAAGACTTAGGTAACCTACAGACTGCGGTGGTTGATACCATCACTCAGGCTAGAGCCCCCTCCACGAGGCGTGCCTACCCCCTGAAGTGGAGTCTATTTACTGAATGGTGTGTCTCTCACAGAGAAGACCCCCGAACCTGCCAGATCAGTGTTGTGCTCTCTTTCCTTCTAGAGAAGCTGGAGAGCAGGCTGTCGCCCTCCACTCTCAAGGTTTATGTGGCTGCCATCTCTGCTCATCATGACGCGGTAGCTGGCGGCACCGTGGGAAAGCATAACCTCATCATCCGGTTCCTCAGAGGCGCTAGGCGAATTAATCCATCTCGCCCCCCTCTCATGCCCTCTTGGCATCTCGCCCTCGTTCTCACGAGCTTGCGCACAGATCCCTTTGAGCCCATCGAATCAGTATCCTTAAGATTTCTGTCCCTGAAGACAGCTCTGCTGGTCGCATTGGCGTAAATTAAGAGCGTCGGGGACCTGGAGGCATTTTCGGTCAGTGACTCGTGCCGGGAATTCGGGCCGGATTATTCTCACGTTATCCTGAGATCCCGCCCAGGTTATGTGCCCAAGGTTCCTACCCCTCCCTTAGAGACCAGGTAGTAAACCTGCAAGCGCTGCCCCCAGAGGAGGCAGACCCAGCCCTTTCCTTACTTTGTCCAGTTTGCGCTCTGCTCATCTATGTGGACCATACTCAGTACTTTAGATCATCTGAGCAGCGCTTTGTCTGTTATGGCGGTCGGCAGCAGAGAAGTGCCATATCGAAACAAACATTATCCCACTGGATTGTGGAGGCCATTTCATTTGCTTATTTGAGCAGAGGTGAGCCGGGTCCCCCGGGAGTGCGTGCGCACTCCATTTGGAGTGTTGCATCCTCTTGGGCGCATGCACGCGGCACCTCTTTAACAGACATCTATAGAGCTGCGAGCTCTACGACACCCAACACATTTACTAGGTTTTACAATCTGCGAGTGGACCCGGTTTCCTTAAGGGTATTAGGTAACCCTTTGGTGATTGAGGAAACGACTCGGTAGGGTGTTGTAACACGCTTGCGGTGCCATTATTCCCTAACACGGAGAGATGTGTACCTTCTTATCTGTCAGTAAGTTCCCCGTCAGGTGAGCCCACCAGATTCCTCCATGGCCCCCAGCACTGACTCAGCGGAGGAGTCACTTGCTGGCCCACTACGTTGTAGGTCTGCCCGTTGGTCAGCCTGAGTTTTGGGTATAGGTGTCTGCTATGCGTGATCCCCACTAGGCGATCCCATATGCCTATTCCGCCACGGTTCAGTCCCCCCTCTTGGGTGGTTATCCGCTAACCACCTTCTTATGCACACTCCCCCTTCTTAGGGCTAGTCCATATGTTATTGCCATCCTATCTCCCCCTTGGGTGCGGATGGTCTCCGCAGCGTCCTCCCTATCGGGATTGCACGCTTCCCAACGTACTGTCGTAATTTATAAATACTGTAATAATTTAGCCAATCCGTAAAACTTCTTTTGAAGTGGGATAAGTTAGGGCCGGGGACACGTTGGAGGACCGCGCGTCCCATGAGGTGGGTGTGTCACGCTTGCTTGACTATCCTCTCATCGGAGGCGTTGGTAAGGTGCAGTCATTATGGCGTTTACCATAGTTCTCCCATTCGTGGATTTCTAAATTCAAATCCACTAATAGCATTGGAGTTGCCCACCCGAAGGGGAACCCTCAGGTTATGGAAGTAATGCTATTTTCCATCGCCATAATGACTGTCCCTGAAGTCTCTGAAGCTTAAAAAGGATGGCGTCTGCTTGCTCCACGTGTGCTTATATGCTGGGTTAATTGGCAATGAAGCAATGAACTTCCGTAACCTGAGCGTTCTTTTACGTATGATTTTTCAGTACTCTTTTTATCACTGCTGATTGTGTTCTATTCCCAGTTATCCCCTCTATGTCCGATACATTTAGAAGGTTTCAACATTTAAGCTAGGAATGATTAAAAAAAAACAACATTAAAGTCATTTCTCTAAGGTGTAAATTGCTTTCAAAGTATTTTTACAGTTCGGTTTCAGCGATCATCATATTGAAAGTTCACTCCCTTCACAGTTTACTTTGAAAACATTTATGCCATTTTGAACGCAGCCATGGCTAATGATAAAAGCTAGGTGACCTATTATTTAAAAACATAATTTACGTTACATGTCCAAAGCTTGTGAAAACAAAAATATATAGAATACATTGATACTTTTAATTTATAGTAGGTTATTTATTAGGAAATGTATCAGTACTGTATATGACATAGGCCTGTTGGTTAGAAATTTTCTGCAGTGGTTTAAATGTGTCAAATTGTAAAAGTAAATAATAAATAAATTAAATGAATAAACAATATCCTACTTAATAATAATAATAATAATAATAATAATATTATTATTATTATTATTATTATTATTATTATTATTATTATTATTAAGGACTTTTTCATAATAAATGGCTTACTGTAAATTACAACCATTAGATTTAATGATTTATATGATTTATATATGACATTATAATACATGTTAGCTAAGTGGTTTTATGTTTTAGAATAGAATATGGAATATTCTCAATATCTGTAAAAGAAACATAGGCCCTTTATGTTCTGTTTACATATACAGTATTTCAATTAACGTGAAAAGCAAGTGCATGTTATTTGCTACCCAAAAAGTATGTTTTTTCTTCAAAGAACTTGTTACTCCACTTAGTTTAGAGTGTCATTATGGACGTTTTACGTTATATCTAACGTGGTTCAAACGATGGATCTGCGACAAAGCAGCTACGGTTTTGGGAAACACTTGTCACTACATCATTCTTTACTGTGATAGTTCAGCCACAAGTTATGTTGTTGTTTGGGAAACTCATCCCAGAATGAGAGTGTAGTTCCTAGACCAATAAAATAGCAATTGTTCGTTTTCAATCAGTCTTAGTACATGATGCAACTACAGAAGAAGCTTTGAAGAGGATTGAAGATTCCCAAAACATTTTTCTTCTTCTGTGGATTAACTTGCATGTATTAATTGTTCACCTAAAAAATAACTATGCACTAACAAAATAACCGTTGTAAATTTTTATTTTAAATGAACTTTAAAAACGCTGTGAATAGAGGATGTTTTTGGATTAATGTACTTTGTAAAATAGTGTACAAAGCAATATTAAATAAGTTTACAAAAAGAGCTGGCACTCCTCAGCTAGACATATGATTTTAGGATTAATTCATTATATCTGCAGTATACTCTCAAACATGAAAATTTTAAACTCAAACTTTAAATAGGAAAATTATCAAAATACTTAATAATACTTAATGATTAATGCTAGACTAGGCTAAAAGTGCTCCTGACAGACCCAGAGATCAGCTGAACGGATTCAAAAATGGTAAAATTCAACTGGTTACTTGTAAAATGAGCCTGTTTTCAAAGATTTTGAATTTACAGACATGGACTAACTGATCTTAATAAAGCAAAGTGAATGACACATATCTAGTTAAACAAGATGGGGAAATATATATTAGCATACCAACAATACCATTAACGAACTGAACAGAAACTATTTATTTTGAGTTTATTGACAGTAACTATGTTTACATAGACATCAGTAATCAAATGATTTGGCTTATTCTGAATAAGAAAATAATATGATTAAGGTGTTTACATGAGTTGCTATTTGAATGTTCCTTTCATGATCCTGTTTAACTTGTGATAGCACATAATTCGTGATTTTGTCACCGGCAGATGCCCTTCCAGCCACAACCCATCTCTGGGAAACATACACACACTCATACACTACGGACAATTTAGCCTACCCAATTCACCTGTACCGCATGTCTTTGGACTGTGGGGGAAACCGGAGCACCCGAAGGAAACCCACGTGAACGCAGGGAGAACATGCTAACTCCACACAATAATGCCAACTCAGCCGAGGTTCGAACCAGCAACCCAGTGACCTTCTTGCTGTAAGGCGACAGCACTACCTACTGTGCCACTGCTTCGCACAAGATTTATCATTAATTAATTAAATAATTCATTTAGCAAAACAAATTTAACATATTTGTACACTGTGACAATACTACACACATTATTTTAAGTAGTTTTCAATAGCTTTTATTGCAAAAAATATTTAATAAATCCTGAAACAATTCCAACAAAAGATGATTTTAATAATGTTATGAGAAATGCAGGTATCTTAATCAAAAGCAAATAATCAAGCCAATTCTCTTAATTAAGTCCATCTTTCTTTAATTGTATTATTTTTATAGTGTAGTGTATTTAAATATGTTCAAACAAGCATTTTGAGGTAAATGTTACCAAAGTGTATCTACTGAAAACAAAAAGTTGCTGCTCACTGTAGGCCATGACAGGTGGAGAGAGCTGCCCAAGACCTCGGAACTCCTCTCACATGACCATGATAGTAACAGTGCTCTCCTCCCTGAAAACTCACACACATCAAATAATCACACACTGTACCGAAGTGAAATAATTACACAATGAACAGCTCTCAAATATGACAGTAACCAAGGCAACATTCCCCTATTAAAATTCATTCCAATGTCCATCAAACACTTTTAGCATGCCATTCCTACTGTCTAGCTTTAAAAAAAAAAGAATCGCTCCTCAAGTCTCTGTGCAATGCATGCTCTCTGTAAAAAATATGCGTGTAATCATTTAGACCACATCTACACTAATCTGGAAACATTGTCTTGTTTTTATTTTCAAGTGAATGCCAGATATATATATATATATATATATATATATATATATATATATATATATATATATATATATATATATATATATATATATATATATATATATATATATATATATATATATATATATATATATATATATATATATATATATATATATATATATGTTTACACCTATATGTGCCTGCTACAGGTTCTGAAAAAAAGTTAATTGTTGCATAATTAAAAAAAAAAAAATGTAATACATTTTTTAATGATTCCATGAATAACTCGTAAACATTTGTTTCAGAAGTGGATGAATCAGCATTTTGGAAAAAAGTTTTTGAAAAACATTCCCTAAAGGAGGGAACAGAGATGCTGCATCAGAACGACACATTTGGAAAAAATTACTTCGAACAGTAAAGCCACGGTCACACTGGACTTTTCACCCCATAGACCCACATTTATATGCACGCGAATGCGTCAGACCGAAACGCAAGCTTGTGCGACAAGTTTCGCAGTTCGTTGCATTCAAGCTTGGTGAATTCTGACTTGCGAAGTCACATCAGGTCCCTGTAGTAACCTTTATGACACATCCCGCTTAAAACCTCAAAAGCCAGAAGAATTGTGAGACCCCGTTTTGTTGGTCCAAACTCATACTGAAAATTAAGATCAAGCGAGCTTTTGCCCTTATGCTCCACGGGAGGTTTCTTTCCCCTCTGAGCTCACCATAGTAAACCTGCACAACCATTAGAAGATCAAAACATGACCTCTTTGGACTCCCCTTTTCAAAGCGCTGTACAACAGAATTTCTAATGCTTAAACTGTAGTGTGACCACAGCACTAGAAATTGGGCCAGTGAATTCCCATGAATTGGCAGACTGCAGCTCCTTATAGGTACAACTAGTCTAATAAGCTGAGTAAATCAACTGGAGGATAGCAAGCCAGACTATCAGCTGGAGACCTGGCTACTGTTGCAGGGAGTCACAGCATTTTCATTCCCTACTTTGGGAAATGTGGGTTACGTTAGTAACCGGGACGTACCCCTACAGATCAGGAGCTCCAACGCTGTGTCGGGATGACACATTTGAGGGATGTGTGTGAAAAATGCCACAGTAGCTGGACCTGTTATGCATTTGGTGACATGTTTGCCAAGCATAATGCGAGCGCACAAGCATCACCAAAGGCGCAACCTTCCAATGTTCTGAGGCCCTCGATTAAAAGAATATAGAAATATTTAGGATTTTAGGGGTGACAGTATGTTGTATGAGTGCGCTGAAGTGGTCTTATATGAACAATTAGAGCAACAAGATAGCGGCTGCAGATGTCATATGCCCTAGAAGCCTTTGAAAAAACTTCAGAGGGACCACTGTTTTTTCTGCTGAACTGTATCAAACAGGACAGCACCAGCCTGCTAATTGTTGATACAGTCGAGGAAGCAGATGCCCACGAGGTGAAGAGGCAGTAAGGTACCTTCCACAAGCTTTGTGAAAACCCACCAAGACAGGGACAGCCTAAAGAGGAGGACCCTTTACTGCCATGTTTGACCCATGAACACACACCGAAGAAATGGTTTGTGGAGAGGAAGAATCGAGACATGAAAATCAACATCCTTCCGGTCTATAGCTGCAACCAATCCCAGGGACGGACGCATTGAGGATGCATTTCTGCATAAGCATTTTTGCGGCTTCCTGTGTAGATAATGGTCTAAAATGTGCATAAAGAATTGGTTATAACCAACTGCTTTTTAGGTATGATGAAGTACAGGCTGTAAAACCCACTCTCCATCTCGACTGGAGGTACCAGTCCGATTGCGTTCTAGGAGGACAGCAATCTTCAAGTGAGCAGTCTTCTGAGCCCACAGGCAGATGATCTTCAACATTGCGCTCGACTGTTCTGTCACTGCTGAGGACTCCTAGGTAAGGTCCCCAACAGTGTCATTGAAGAGGATTGCCTAGGATATGGGCATGCCAAGAAAACGAGCTTTGGCTTTGTGTCACATATCCATCAGGGTAAGCTAAGCCTCGCATTCCTGGACCACTAGTGTGGCCATCATCTTCTCCAGGGCAATGGCAGCCTACTTAATGGTTATGAGAGCATAGTCGGCTAATGTGCTCATGCATCAAGCCTGGTGAAGAACTGCCCAGCCAATCCTTGTGCTGCCCATGGTGCAGGGCAGAAGCAACAAGGCCAGCAGTGATGTGGACTCTGGCCGTAAGAGACACAGATAACCCACATGCCTTGCACGGAGTCTCTGCTTACCCCTCCAGTTGGCGGTGCCTACCATCTGGGGAATAGCCTCGTACCCACTACCAAAGCAACCTTTACACCCCGGAGGGTGGTAGTGGGCCTGGTTTGTCATCTGAACATGACAGCTTGCCCTCCAATACTGCATCAGGTGTCATCAAGCGGAAGCACGGCCATCGCAGAGGATGAACTGCCACCAACCCTCAAAGTTGTGAAAGAGTCGGGGGGTTGCAGGCAATGAGGCAACTGATAAGCCTCCACAATCTTCAGATCTCCCTGAGTGCTCACTACTTTACAGGGAACAACAGGGGTGGTTCGTGCTTTTGCAAGTGCGTACGATCTCAGCTGTGCAACACACATGCCCTCGCCATAAGAATATGAGCTGTCCATGAGCACCGGATCCACATGCTGAACCCCCAGACATGTGATGCAATACCCGTGCCCATCATCTGGAGATAGGAACTACCGCATACAGAAGTACATGGTCAGAACTGAGCCTGACTGTGTTGCTCTCTTAGGAAAATCTACTCTTTTTTTTAGACTTCCCTTTTTTTGAAGTAGCCAGCGAAATGTCCAAAGATGGGAGAATCACCCAGCTTGATCACTGCTGTCTGCATTGAATACATGAAACTTGATCTATCTGGAATGATCCAGAGAGCTTGATCACTCTTGATCTCTATGATGAGCTGATTCAGTTGCGTGGGGCTTCTGAAGCAAAAAGTCTGGCTGGAACTGTAAGGAGCTGCGCTCTACCAATTAATTGGCATTTATTGGCCTGTTTTCTTACTCCTCAGAGTCATTGGTCATCTGGCGATTCTCACAAATGTCATCCCACCACAGCATTGGAGTTCCTTATCTGAAGAAGCTTTTGATATTCATCAATGTTGTCAAAATACCTCTGCAATAATAACTTCAGTTACTTGGTTGGTACCACCTATTGGAATAACACTTACTAGCTTTATTTTAATAATACTAATAAAAAAGTGATTTGCTCTGTTTTTCAAAAGGGTGTTTTTTAATATTGTATTTATATTTTAACTATAAACTTTTATACAGTTTTTTCTGTGGTATATTTTTAAACATAGAAATAATAATATTGTAGCAACTGTAAAGATTTTCAGCATGACAAATGCTGTCTGTGGGTCAGCAGCAGCAGCATGAACACAGATATAAATGTTTCACCTTTATCATACTGTAAGGTTGAATCAATGTCATTTAGAAAAAGAATATATGGGTGTTTGAACAGTTAATTGCACAGCTCTAATAAAGGGTGGCAAATTTTGAACATAAAATCTGTTTGATAGGAAACATTTACCAAATTCTTAAAGTCTGCATGAACCAGAAGTTGCTGAGACTTTTTTTTTCTTTACGTTGATGTAATTCAAACTGAAACACAGTATTAAGTAGGGGCAGGCCTATCTTTTTTAAACACAATTCTTTATAGCAAACTTATGATAAGATGGGCATGGTTGCACTAATTAATTGTTCACCTTAAAAATAACAACATGCAATAGCAAAATAATCATTGTAAAGTTTGATTTAACATGAGCTTTAAACGCTAATGGAAAGAGATTGCTTTGAAAAAAAAAACATAATTTTCAAATGTATTTGGATCAATGTACTTTGCCTCAGTAAAAGAACATCTGCTTCTTTTAAACTAGACATATGATTTGAGGACTTATTCATTATGTTTAAAGTATTCTCTCAAACAAATTTAAGAGCTGTGAGGTCTATAAGTAGACACCCACACACTAAACGTGTGGGAGACACTCATGTCAGTGGTGTGATTGATGCAAGCTTGCTTTGCTGGGATTCCATATTACCTGCCTGTTTTGTAGCTTTCTGCAATGCAGTCCTGGTTTCCCTGAGTCTGTGCTGCAGTGTAGATGCTTAATGACTTCAGCTTCTCCACTCAATCCTTTATTTTTCCTGTCTCTCCCTCTCTCTCTCTCTGACTCAGTTGGCCAAAGTGGACTAGAACTGTCTATAAGCAGTTGTCATAGCAACAGCGTGGTGATTGGTCAAATGCAGCTGACACTGAACAGGAGGGGCGGATGCTTTCACAGGCTCCGTTTCTTGCTGCATTAGTTGAGCACTAAGAAAGGATGTGGGTATATTGCTAAACCCACAGATATGACCTTTGAAGTTTAAAGATGTACTATAAAGAAAATCTGGATATAATTAAAAACGAATATAGTCATGATCCGTATATGGAAATGCCCATACTGTGAGCCTCAGACACCATTGTTTCCTGATTCTCATGTACATTCCACAACTGTAAAATATAAGTGGACAAAAGCCAATCAGAACACAATGCAGACTGTACGAGATTCAATGGGCACGCCCTCATCATTTGCATGTACTTTAGTTTATCCTATGTAGCTCTGAGATTATTAATATGCACACCTTGGGCTGTGATGATGAGCCACAACGTTTCCTAGTGAAACGACAATGTTCATTTTCTTCCCTTAGTTATTTTTATTAAGTTTATATTCAACTTACTATGTATGTGGGACTTTTATTTTGAAAATGGGAGGCACAGATTGTTTTCTCTGTGTTACTGAGCAACGAGACCTGTTCAAACTAGTGTCAGTGGTATGTTGTACATCAATTGTTGCGTTTAATTGTATCTTTTGGTAATTTATCATGTTTATTTCGAAATTTGATGGATATGTTTTAACAAACAAATATAGACTGCTGAATTTTTGTCAAATTACACAGCTTTCATCTGTTCATGCAGGGGTTGATATTAATTCCTGGCTGTGTTTTCTATGACATTATAGCATAAAAAAACAACACAATACATCTTTATCGGTCTTCTTTGTGAGTTTAATAATAGTTTAGTCGTTATACACAAATTAGCAAAATAGGTTAACCTTACTCTAATGGGTTTATATTAGAGAGCTCACTCTCAACATTTATGTAAAATAAACCCATTAATATGATATTATAAGGTATTAATATTCATGACCATTCCAAAATGTGCTCAATTATAAGGCTTCTGATTCTGGGGGCATTTTACTGAGTAATAAATGAGCATATAAAACCATTTTCAGATTTTTTTTTCATTTACCTACTATGTACACTACCAGTCAAAAGTTTGTGACCAAATGACCAAAGGACAAAATGTTTTTTAGAAAATTATTCTGTTCATCAAGGTGGCATTTATCAAAGTCCCCAAGAAGTTAAACCTAAGCAACTGACTCCCATTCGCCAGTTTTATCCCAGCTCAGAGCGGGTTGGATGGTGTAGGACTGGTAACATTGCATTGGTGGCATGACCCGGATGCGAGTGAGGTTTAGGGGGGTAAGTGTAGCGGAGTCCAGCTAGTGAAATGCTGTGCAGTTTTGACAACAAACAGAAATGGTAAGCAGGAGTAGTCTGTATAGGTTGTTAAAGCTCTTATAAAACCCCTTTTCAGATCAACAACAAGTCCCGCCCACTGTTTGGGCATTTAAAATTCTGTTTCTATAGGAACTGTGTCACATACAAAAAATAACAATCACAGCTTCCAGTTCATTGGGACTTTAAATGTAAAACAATTGTTAAATTGTTAAAATTTTTATTAAAATTTTAAATAACTGCTTTCTTTTTGTATGTAGTTTCAAATGAAATAATTCCTAATAATGAATAATGAAAATTCCTTCATAGGGCCAGACGGAATCTTTGGATGTTATTTGCTATTTCTGCTGAGAATTTTGGTAAAAATCTGCAGATTTCTGTGGAATTATTTTGGGAGTATCATAATTACAACCTTACTATCTGAAATAAAAAATTATATCTTTTGAACTTTTATTTAATGTTTAAAATGCTAATCCAATTAGATCCACTAAGTTTACATACATTTACAGAAGTAAACAAACAGAATTAATGATGGGCTAAAAATCTGCGGAATTCTGAGAGGGCAGATTCTGTATGGGCCTACTATGAGTTCCAAATCCATAATGCTTTTTTATTTATCCTCAAAACAGAAATATTTTCAATGAAATTTTATTTCTGTTCACAAAAAAAGAAGAAAAATGTTTTTTTCATTGTTTAAACAACTTCAGACTGTTTCCAACCTATCTGAGTTTCTTTATTCTTTTGGTCCCACTTTATGCACTCTCAGAAACAAAGGTACACGGTGGTACAAATAATGTTCCTTAAGGAACAGTATTTTACCTTTGTAAAAGTTGTACCTTATATGGTACAGAAAAGTTTTCTTAAGATACTTTTCTGTAACTTTTATGGTACAATTAAAATTAAGGTACATAATTTGTCTCATAAAAAAGGTATAAGTGTTGGAAAACTCCTTTATTACAATATCTATGAAAATAATTATTACGGGAAAGGCAAATTGATTTTATGAATAATTTCCAAATTACTACATGAATCATCATTTTCGCACGTTTTGGTGTTTGCTTACCACTACACACATGAGCTGGCAAAAGTCCTGCATCTGCAAAGTGTTCATGCAGGCATTTTAGTACTGTAAAGCTGATCAAACATTGTGAATATCTCATTACAATACTGTTGCATAATTCTATTTCTATTTTTAAATTAAGGAAATTAAATGAACGTTTAAGTGATTACAAAGGTATTGTGTAAAAATTGGGAAAAAAAGAAAGTATTGATGTAAATTCAGTTCTACATTTTTGTAAAAAGTGTTGTGAAATGCTTAGCAAAAATAGATCTTTTGATTTATGTTAAAGTAATTTTTATTTTAAACTGTAAATGGAAAAGGTTTATTTAAGAAACTTTTTTTTAAAAACATTGTTTAATAAATGTATTTGATTTATATTTACTGAAAACAAATTGACACTTTTTGGATATAGAAAAATGCCTTTCATAGTTCTAGAAGGAACACATTTGACATTCGTAAGGTACAAAGTGTCTTGTCACAGTAATGATACCTTCATAGATCAGATTTGTACCTCTGATAAAAGTACAATATTGTATTTGCAGGTTTTAAAAACGAAAAGTACATTTCTGTTTCCCATGGTACAAATCATGCTTTAAAGGTAGGCTAGAAACTGCAAATACAAATTTGTTTCTTTGTCTTAATGACAAGAGTTTCTACCTTCTTTGGTACAACAATGTACCATTATTTCTGAAAGTGTGTAAGTTGCATCAAAAAAATCTAATAAAATAAAAATAAATAAATACAACATACTGTGTTCTGTGTTAACATTTCTGGTTTTAGATACAGGTAGAGTTCGGGACAGGTTTGGGGGTATGGGTAAGTTTAAAGGTGGGTTAAGGTGTAAGTGATGGTATAAAACAGTGTAATTAGAAATTAGATTAATTAGAAATTACATGCAGGTATTTAATCAATCATAAGTACAATGTAAAACATATTTACACCTGTAACTAATTTCTGTCACATTTCTAATTACACAGTAACATTGTAACAAATGCTAAATTTATGTGTATGTACATATTAGTTACGGCCACCTATAGTGGGACTATTCTTTTCAACACAAATGAGGATATTTGAAGAATTTGGGCAACCAAAAAGTTTTCCACACTACCTTCAACAATATCTTCAATACCTATACATTTAATTTAATAACCATCAACATTGATTTGCTAATAACATTTTACAAAATATCTTCTTTTGTGTTTAACAGAAGTAATCTCATACAGGTTTAAAACAGCTTCAGGGGATGAACTGTACCGTTCACAGCAGATACAAAACTTAAAATTAAAAACGCAAGTTTGATTGTTAAGATATGAGTGAATTTCAAAACGGTCACACTTTATTTTAATGGTCCATTTGTTAAGTATATATTACATTGCGACTAATTCTCATTAGATTATAAGTAGACTGTTAGGTTGGGATTAGGGTTAGTGTAAGTTGAAATGTACTTAAAAAGCTTCTTATAGTAAGTTAAGTGCCTGTTGAAGGAGCAGTATCAACAGATATTAAGCGGACAGTCTACTAATACTCAAATGGATCATCAAAATAAATTGTGCCCAAAAAAAACTCTGAAAATACTGATATATTTTTTTCTTACCAGAGTCTGAAATGATTGCCCATCCTTTTCAAAGTGGCGTTCAACATAGTTAGATGACAAAAGATCACTGCAAACACACACACATCATCATCATTGCTCTTAATATATAGCATAGAGAGAATAACACATGTATATTTCTGCAGGTGTGTGATTTTGCACATACTGATTGAGCTCCAGGTCCAAAACAAATGGTATTCCAAAGGCCTTTACCAGGAATGTGATTTGAGCAAGATGAATGGGCTGAGGGACAGAAGAACAGACAAATAGCGAATGATGAAACTTTATAAAAAGAAGACAATCCATGGGTTCAGAGATGTCTGAACACGCAGGAAACATGACATCATAACACAAAAATAATATTCTAAATGTGAACAGTTGAACTCCTGGGCTGTGACTTTTATTTATGAATTATTTAACTAATTAATATTTTATTTTTGTATAATATAGATTATTTAGTAACACACATATACAGTATTTCACAGTGCGGAAATATTTGTTTTCCATCTTTTAGTTAAAACTTTACTTGATCTGGACACAGCATGATTCTGCCTAAAAAGTAAAGTGTGTGTGCACTTCCACACATCTGCACAAACATCAATATATCTCCAGCATAAGAAGGCGTCTCTTAGATAGGCGAGTATGTAGTCTCAAAATATTTAGTAAGAATTAGATTACATGTGGGCCTCCATTCTTACATATTGCACAATATAGGATTTAGGTAAATCTTAAAGGTGGTTGCCAGAATTTGCCTTTACAAATCTATATATATATATATATATATATATATATATATATATATAAACCAACATTTTATGGTAATCTACCATATTTAATGAACTAACCAATGTTTTGACGTACTAACAGCTACACATTGTGGCATTTTTACAGGGACAAAGATACAACCATAAGCATATAGGAATGAGAAACGCAGATGATCCAACACTCCAAAACATTTTCTCAAAAGAAAAGACACATACTAATACATAGAAGTTGCTCTGCTAACTACTAAACACCATCATTGTAACACACATAAAATTTAAAAAGACGATATAATGCACAAGAATTGTCAGTCCTATAGTTGTGAATGGGGAAAAGTTTAAGTCTATTGGTGGTTCCAAATATGTATGCAATCGTAAGCTTTGCAAACAGTTTTGAAGAATTTGATGTTTCACCATTCAGACAGAAATCCAAATCATACTGCCTCAGAGGCGTTTCAAAGATGTCAGCTGAGTAAAATAACTTTCCTTAAAGGGACTTTAATAGTACATTACTGAAAAGGACCATTGTAGTTTTAAAAAAGTAAGGTGTTATTCAGGAAACGTCCCTCACTCTCACTCCCTTTCCCTCTGCTTATTCCCTGTTATAACACGATTTTCTACCTGAAGCCAAAAGCTTAACATGTGGCATTTTAATATCTTTTCTGAAGGTGCCATATTATATCTGGATATACCTGAGCAAAACTGAGAGTTTAGTACATGGAAATGGCCATACTGTGAGCCTCAAAGACCATTGTTTCCTCCTCAAGTGAACTTTTGAAGGTAAAACCCTGGCGTAAAACAGACCTATCAGAACAAAACACTTTTTTTTTGAGGCACTATCCCTTAAATAACTTGCTCTACATCTAAAAAGTTTTTTTTTAAGCAAAATCATTAAACCATCCAACAACTTGTGTTACAAAGAACACATTTTCGCAATCCAATCCGGCCCAGTCACTGGAATGACTTTTGTTGGTATCATAAGAAAGGACAGTGTAGATTAAATGACAGTACAGATTCAGATAGAAGAAGTCAGGTTCAATGCCTGAAGGGCAGTCAAGTCGGGTTGTCGAGTGCTTTGCACTAGTGTCAGGTAAGGCAGCTCAAGGTTATGGGGATATAAAATGGCCTTTGACAGACAGGTGGTATATATTGCACCCCTGGTTACAAGAGACGAAACGGTGTGGGTGTGAAATGCGATCACCTTGCAATGCTTGCAGTTGAAGGCACCAAAACAATTACCTACCTCAATGCAAAAAGTGTAGAGTGCATTCACACTCATTTTTTCTACTAAATAAATCATTTAAAATCTCACATTTATTAAATACAGCGAGATGTGGGAACAAGGTAAAGCAATATCATATGTCAAAGCAGTTAAATGCTCAGAACCCAATTGTGAAACTCATTTTATAGTTACAGCTGGCTAACTGCAAAAAATATTACTTAGGACTGACAATATGGTGAAATATGTCAAACCTGGATTTAAAATTTGATACACTTGCATACAAAACATCCATAGTGTGTGCCAAAACTGTGAGTGGTGCTAAAAATGACATGCATGATTCCAATAACCAATAATATTGCAAGCGTAGTTATAAACATATTTATTTTAGATTACACTGTAAAACATTCATTTATGCATTTTCCTTCACTTAAGTCTTCAGGGGTCGCCACATTGGAATGAATCGCCAACTTATCCAGCATATGTTTTACATAGCGGATGCCCTTCCAGCTCCAACCCAGTGCTGGGAAACATCCATACACACTCATTCACACACATACACGACAGCTGAAGTTATATATATATTATATAAACTTCAGCTGTCGTGTATGTGTGTGAATGAGTGTGTATGGATGTTTATATAATTAGATGATAGATGATTATATAAACTTCAATATATTTATATTATTTTAAAACTTATTTTTTAAAACATATTTTCTGAAATGAATATCAGGCGACGTGGTGGCACAGTAGGTAGTGCTGTCGCTGGTTTAAGCCTCGGCTGGGTCAGTTGGCATTTCTGTGTGGAATTTGCATGATCTCCTCGTGTTCGTGTAGGTTTCCTCCGGGTGGTCAGGTTTCCCCCACAAGTCCACAGACATGTGGTAGAGGTGAATTGGGTAGGCTAAATTGTCCGTAGTGTATGTGTGTGAATGGATGTTTCCCAGTGATAAGTTGCAGCTGGAAGGGCATCCGCTGCGTAAAAACGTGCTGGATAAGTTGCCGGTTCATTCCACTGTGAGTCGAAAAGAAAATGAATGAATGAATTAAATGAATATCATCCAAATAATTTTTATTTAAATCTCTGCTGTAAACAACTCATATTGTAAGTTTGAAATAATAAAAAAAAATGGTAAACACATTACCTAATAACCAATTCTACTGTACCAAATTGATTACCTTGTTAAGTCAGCAACACAAACACAGAATGTTCAACCTCGTAACTAAATAAGTATGGAATCTAATTAATTAGAAAATAAAAAATAAAAAAACAGTTAAAATGAATACAAAGATTCTTTTAAAAGGATTGTTGCAAAATTAGGCAGCCACCAGGGATGTTGCTAGACCCTATTTATTGGTACATGTTCACCAGTAAAAAACCCAGTCCCAGTAAATGCTTTGAGTTGCAATATATTGTGTATATTAATTAAGGCAGTGTATTAATTAAGAGTGGTAATCCCAGAATAAATATGTACGCAATTTTCCTGTAGTGCATTGACGGGAGTTTGGGATTTCCACTTGAAGCACTGGATAAAATTAAGTTCCCCTTCGGTTGGGGAACTTCAGTGCCATAGAGTGGATTGATTGAATCCACGAAATGGGAGGATTCGGATCAGAAGCCGCTTGTCTGGAGAGTATTGAACGGGCCAATGAATGAAATTAATTGGCAGCGTAAGCTTGCGCAGGTGTGCGGCATCTGCAATTATCTCAGCATATAAGCACACCTGAAGCCAGCAGACGCCATCCTTTTCGCTTCAGATCCTTTCTGAGTGAGTCGATGAGGGTTCCTCTTGCTGATCAGCACTTCAGAGCGAACGAGTGTGTCTCCCGGTCCAGAGTGGGTCTTCGCGGTGGCAGACGGTCGAGCTGGGTTTCTCCCTTGCCTGCGGTTCTTTGGGTCCGGTCCTCCAGAGCGGTGCGTATTGTTGCAACTTTCCTAAAAGAGCAACACAGTCGTGCAGCACGTCCTTTTCAGGATGGCGCTCCGACTGTGCGTTTCTGGATGCGGGGGTTTCCTGGCTCCGGATGATGGACACGATCACTGCATTGCATGTTTGGGGGTCCAGCATGTTAATGCGGTGCTCGCGGGCGGTTCATGTCGTCATTGCGATGCCATAACCGTTGCACAGCTAAGATCGCGGCTAACTTTCGCAAGAGAGCGAGCCACCCCAGTTGCCTCCTGTTCTAAAAAAGCAGCGGGCGCTCGGGCAGATCTGAGGGTTTCAGCGGGAGATAATCCACCACCCACGGGCTCGCGGACCTCTCGCTCCTCACGGCGCTCCATCCAAGCTTCGGGTAGTGGGAGTGATCCGTCTAACCAGATGGTAGCTCTCACACTCGCTGACACCGGAGATCAGATGTCCTCTGCGGCATCGGAGGGTGGGCTTTCACTGTCCGACGAAGATCCGGACCCGCTCGCCCCCTCCGGGCAGGTGAGCGCTGTCAAATCGGATCCTGAAGCGGACATGTTAGCCGTGCTTTCCCGGGCTGCTTCGGCCGTGGGGTTGGAGATGGTTTATCCCCCAGCTCCGCGGCTGGACCGACTAGATGGGTGCTACGTAGAGGACCAGAAGGCGAAGCCTTCGAAGCCTCTCGTCCCCTTCTTCCTGGAAGTGCACAGTAGGCTCACGCAGTCTTGGAGGGCACCTTTCTCTGCCCGTGCTGCGTGTGCCTCCGCCCTCACCGCCCTTGACGGCGGAGCTGCCAGGGGGTATGAGGCGATCCCGTCAGTGGAGCGCGCTATCGCGGTCAATCTTTGTCCGCGCGGCGCCTCTACGTGGCGGGGTTTGCCCCGCCTCCCGTTCAAAGCCTGTAGGTTGTCTGCCTCCCTCGGAGCCAGAGCTTATAAGGCTGCGGGCCAGGCTGCTTCTGCTTTGCACGCGATGGCCACCTACCAGCGCTACCAAGCGCAGGCGCTGGCCGAGCTGCACGAGGGTGGGTCCAACCCAAGCTTATTACATGAGCTGCGCACCGCGACCGACTATGCTCTTCGGACTACTAAGTCCGCCGCGTGTGCGCTGGGGAGGACGATGTCCACACTTGTGGTTCAGGAACGCCACCTCTGGCTAAACCTGGCCGATATGCGCGATGTTGACAAAGTTCGCTTTCTTGACTCGCCCATATCCCAGGCTGGCCTGTTCGGCGACACCGTCGGTGAATTCACCCAGGAATTCAAGGCGGTGAAAGAGCAGTCGGATGCGATGGGCAATGTCATCTATCGGCGTGGCCGTAAGCCCGCTCCGGCTGCCGAGCCATCCACCTCC